CTGTGCACAGTGAAATTGAACCATGCTGTGAAGTGTGCAGCGACATCATATATTGGCTGAAAGTGCCTTCCTTAGTTTGCCCTTTTCTTCCATTCATAGAATTGCAAACCATATGAACCATATACAAAGGAGAGCTCATATGTGATACCTTAATTATTACTAATTACGGTGTGGGAAACCTAGCCGTTGCATGCAACCTTTTACACAGTGTTCTAGGCAGTGTTGGTCTTCTAGCAAATGCTGCATTGTGTTATGATAGAAGTAATCAGCAGAGATACTTTCCTATGGCTTGTGCTTCCTTTGCCTGCTGGATAATGCAAGGATGCAAAAGTGATTTTATTGGAATCAACACAATACAGAAAGCAGAATTTGTGGATAATAGAACTGATAGTGTGGGGACATGCACAACATTTTGCACAGTGGTTTAATAAGAAGGCTGGGGACGTATCTGGATGCCACTTCTGGTACTTCCTGTGTCTCAAGTACAGAATATGAAAGTGACACATTCACTCTGAGAAATCTGCAAATGATAGTGTGCTGCTGTTATACAGATTATATTGGGCTGGCATCAGGCTCTGTCTGCCTACTGTCCTGGTGGAAAGCATGGGAAATAAAGCTGGACCACAGAGGCTAGATGTGCTGGTTGACTGCATGCAGCCTTCCGAAGTGACGGTAAACTGGATAGGTGGTGGAAGTCACAAAAGTAGGTGGAAGCACCTACTAGCTTTTCATTTCTGGCTCCATGCTGCAGAGCCTGTAAACAATGTAAGCAGCAGTTCTGCTTGCAGAACTGTTAACCACTCCTCCCCGTCATCAGACAGCACAGCATAAACTGACTTGCCCTGCTTGAATGCAACGACTGTTCCTCATCTTGAAGCTAAAGATGCCTACTCACATCCGCTTTCACCTCAACAAACTGAAATCCTGCTCAAGTTACGCCTAGAGGACAGCGCTACCAGGTTATTTTTTTTCTAGCGTATGTGGAATCACATACAGAAATGTGACGTTTGACTCAAACTATTTGTCACATTTGTGACACACCTTGTCTTGTGTCTCTTGATGGACACACACATTCCATTCTCTCCCTTGCTGATTCCCTTCTGAGGCAAGGGATGTCATTCCCAACAACAACAGCAGCGTGTTAACACAGAAATCATCTTGGTAAATCATGCCTCTTTGCAATGCAGGAGTGCAGAAACACAATGCTGAACTTTGTTCTAATTACATATGAGGCTTCCACATACTTCCTTTAGTTTCTTTTCAGCTGCAAAGCTGAAACAGAGAGGACCATTTTAGCACAAGAACTCATTGGCCTGCTTTTCAAATATACTGATTCTTTCAAAGTCAGCCCTGCCTTTGCAAACAAGAATCAGCAATTTTTAAACCCCCTGCCCCAGAACTATATACCATTGGCTATTCATTACAGAAGTTAATTAAGCTGAAGGAGACAGCTAGAGGACAGCCGTTCTGAAAAGCACAAAAGGTTTCTTGAGGTGAATGAAACACAGCAGGGGTAGAAAGGGAGGCCTGGAACTGTCACCCCTCAAGGGTGCTGCTGATGGAGAATGGTGAGCATATCCTGTTAAGTTGGATGGCGTCCCGAAAAGTAGGCATAAAAGCACATGGAAACCATGCATAGTTCTAAAAGCCCTCTTATCTTGGCTCAAGTATTTCTTATGTATCTGTGTTTATGTAAGACTTTACACCTTCCTGTACCAAACCAGCATGGGAAGAATTTGTGTAGAGTTAAGTAGTACTTTACTCATGAGCCAGAAAAAGGGTGTAATGCAGAGAGGGGGGATCGTGCAGCAGTAGCAGAAGGACCCATGGAAAGATAATGAGTTGGGGAATAGATGTTAAGACTATTCATTACATAAGAGTGCTATTAAATGTGTGTTTAAAACACAGCTCTTGAAGGTGTAGCTTTTATCAACAGAGTCCAAACCAATCTAGATGATTCAAGCAGGTCAGCTCTGTCAAACAGGTCAGGAAGATGAGTGTTGCAGCATACAGCCTGGATTATTTGGGTCTCACACACCTAGGAAACCACTGTCTTCCCGATATCCAGTGGTTCTCATTTCTCCCTATTCAGTATGCCAAGTTCAGCTGAGAAAGAGGGAGGCAGTTTAGTTTTAAAGTGGGTAATGCTGGTGTTCAGCTTTCTTGAAGGCACCAGTTCTGAATTCAGGTATGTTAGGCCTAGTTGTTATTGGGGTTAATGTCCTGCACTGGCTAAACTCATCTTTGCAACACTATAAAAATTGTTTATGAGGGCTGCTTTTGACCAGCAGTGGCTGAGATTTAAACCAGAAACTGGGCAGGGATCATTATGACTGTTGCAAATTAAAATATGATCCCTGGTTAATAGGAGGGTAAAGTATCTGTAGGTTCAACAGATTTTTTTTTTAAACTCTGTGTGCAACATTTGATGGACAAAATCAAGGCTTTATAAGCTAGGGTCCAAAGCATTTTAAGGTGAACCCTCTGTGAATTCCTTCAAACATTACATTCCTAGTATTTCATATTTAGATCTCTCATAGCAGTACTGATGGGATTTGATTTTTATTTTAGAAGCAGGTTTGGCACTGACCTATTCTTACAATGGAAACAATCCCTATGTTCCAGGTTCCAAAATAGATGGGAAAATGTGGAAGGTACATTTTCCTTTTCTTAACATTATCTTGTACTTCAGAGAATGTATGTCCTTTCCTCAGCATGTACTTCCTAGGCAATTCTATTTGAGGTAGAGGCACTATGTAAACAAATATTCAATCAACTATTTAAAAGCAACAAAACTGAAAAATAAAAACCAGCTTAAGGTTGTGTCACCAATGTAAATAGTTCAAACTGTATGAAATTTTTCAGGGTAAGTTGCAAAACTTAATTTGCAGTGCTCTTAAACTAAGAACTTCCACTTGTGTGCAGGAAGCAGGCAGACTATTGAGAAGTCACAGTACTACTTTATATTCCCAAATATTCCCTAAACCTGTTCTGTCTTCACAACATCCCAAGCACTGAAATATCAGCCTTCTATACACAATCATATGCAAAGGCCTCTCTCCCAGCATAACTTAACTAATGCTCTAAGTTATGGCTGTCATTGTGTCTTTTTACAGGAAGCAGTACAGAGACATGAGAGAAGCAAGACAATTCCACAAGCACTGCTGGAAAAGACTTTTTTCTCCTCTTGCCTTTCCATTTTTCCTCATGTGTGTAATTTCTTCTTAGTAAGCCTGCAGGAAGGCATTGTCTTGTTTTACTGATTGTGTATAAAATGTTTTGAGAGTCTTTATGGGTGAATAGTGAGATAAAAAGTACTTTAAAATAGATATTCTTGTAGCCCTGAAAGCAGCAGCAAGCAAACACCCTAACATTTTTTAAAACATTTTTTTTACCACCATTCAGGTAGATCTTCCTCCCAGTGACTCAGATTCCTAATTTCCTTATTAGGGAAGTCCGCTCTTATGTGTCTAAACACCATCCCACACCCTGGCTTGGCAGAAACCACCCAGGAGTTTCTGGAAACATGTTAGAACGTGTTGGTTTTTCTGCTGGGCTACCAGAAGGTTGTGTTCTGGCCAACTTTATTTAGCATTCATGTTATTTATATAGCAAGGCGTTGAACTTAAAAAAGGTATGCTTTACCTTGCATCAGGGCTAACAATGGCAGCTTCTGATGCTTACTGCAGAGACAAGTCTATGTTTGGTCTTGTGGTACATGAAGAACAGCTGTATATTTCCCCCCCAAAATACTTACTTTTAAAACCATTTTAGACAACAAATAGTAATAAAAGGCGCAAAGAATGCCTTTAGTATTTGAGTGATGTCACCAATTCTCTATTAGCAGAAGTACAACTCTAGACTGCATCCTCAGGAGAGCAAATCCTGCATCTGCACTGGGCCAATGCAATGCTTTATGTTGGATCCAGAGTGAGTCCCCTTGAAGTAGATTCATTACAATCAATGGAACTTAGTTTTATCATGATTTACTTGACTCATTAATTTCAGTTGGTTTACTCTTACACATAACTATCAACCGAGCTCTTGACTTTGTCAGGTATCAGCAGCCTACCACTATAGACCTGTACAGTTGATTTCTACTGCTCCCTAGACCCTACTAAATCTGTTTACAATTTCTGGGCACATCACGCATCATTTTACAAGGCCAGCCCTCAGCAGTTGGTAGGAAAAGTATCATAAACACCAATAACTAGGACCGTACCAGCAATTTCTGAATTCTAAGACTGTACGTAATAGTCAAGCAATGGGCTTTTATTTTAAAATTAAGGCATAATGTGGAATGTTCTGACAATCATGAACATTAGTTATGTTGCCTTGTAACTACTACTAGGAAAAACAAAGTAATTTTAAAACAACTTCCTAAGTCCTCTAATTGTGCATCCCCTAATTAAGTAACAGCTGGTAAATATACTGCAATTAAGGGGAAGCAGAGAAGTAATCCTCAAAATTCTTGGCACTCCTTATACTTGTAATTTGCCTTATATGGCCCTTCATATCACCCCACATTAAATACACAATTGTGAAATGAATGTAGAAATGTTTACTGATTAGATTTATATCCAACCCTTTTTTCTTCAAGACACAGAATTGTTTTATTAAAAATGAAGTCAATTCCAGGCAGGTTATGGTGCTGAACAGCATTCCTTGGCTTACGTTTGATGATTCAAGAACCTTTAGTGAGAATTCTACTTTGGATTAAGTGCGTGATTTTAACATTTTCGGTTTTCAATGCAGAAGAACTCCAGTAATTTCCAATTAGGTACTGAATGTGGATGAGTATGGCCATGCTATTTGCATAACTAGCTCTTCACAGTCCTTACTGTTGATATGCCAGAAAGATCCAACTTTTTTTCCCCAAGGCACTTCCCACATTTCTAGCTGTACATTATACCACTAACCTGGACCATATCTGAAGAGAAAATCTATTCCTCTCCTTACAAACCCTTAATTCCCATTCACAAACAACAGAGACAGGAGGCTATTATATATCATGCTTTTAATACAAACTTAAAAAAATCTGGAACAATAGAAACTGTACAGATTTGATCAACCTTTGTTGTTTTTAACTAAATCTCTAGACATGCCAATGTCCTGTTCCAAAATATTGCACAACATTCTGAATACAAAACTCTGATTGTATTCCTCCTTCACTAGAGAAAAAAAAAGAAAACAAAGAAACCCCTCTGGATCCCTACTCAATGGCCCCCTGCCTGTAAAAACAAAACGAAACAAAAAACGAGCAAGAACAGCATGGACCTCTGCATTAAAAAACATACATAATTCTATCCTCTTTGCGTTCATCCATCCTCTAAGATCACTCGTTGCTGATTCACTCTTCAAAAAGGGTCAGGAAGGAGGGAAGCGAGGGGAGAAAGGAGCTTTCACTGCTGCTTTTTTAAAATTTTCCTGAAAAAATATTTTTCTCTCCTCTAAGAAAAAATCTTGAAAAGAAAAATTTCAATTTTTTTACGTTAGAAATATACATATATTATATATACCTCTTACATTTTACAAATGTAGCAAATTATTCAATATAAACGGACAACAAAAAAATTAACACAAACCCATAAAAATAAAAGTTAAAAAAAATCTCTTTTTCTTCCTAAGAAACCAGGTAAATTAGTGCAGGTTTTAAAAATAAAATTGAAGCTGAACGTCTAACTCTTGAGACAAGAAGACCAAAAAGAGGCCGTGAGTTTCATTGTCGCCAGCACTGGAAATGCTTCTGAAGCACGGTATGTGTTCCTTTGGGAAACAGAGGTTGGTCCCTCCCTTTTTCCTCCTTGTGTATGCAGACTTCTTTTCCAAAGCAATTGGCAGAATAAAGCGGTGTCAGACATCACAGGTGCTAGTGAGGTTTCTCTCTCTTCAAAATAGTGAAGCCTTAGAAGGGTACATAAGCCCACCCACAGAGTGGCTTGTGGCAGCTTCTCCTCCAGGAGTAAGTTATCAAAGGATATTATGCTGGATGAATAGGAAGCCAGAAGCTCTCCTACAGAGGGAGGCATGGTTCAAGTCCAGTGTAATAGCTTGGCAGTCTACAATACACTTAGAAGGGGAAGTAGGTGGCAGTGGTAATGTTGGGGCGGGGGGGACAAACAACAAATGCCTTTTGCTGAGCCAGTTCTAAGTGTCTTGTTTGAGTTTTTCATTTCTAGGCCTACAAAACTTTACATTTCACATCAGTGCCAAATACTGCCTTCCTTTCTTATCCATTGAGTGGGTCACAGAACATAACCAGAGTGCTGAAATAGCTTTGAGTATCCTTTTCCTCAGCCCAGAAAAGGGGGGGGGCAAAAGGGGGCTCAACTTGGGGGGACATTTGGAGAGACTTCCTGCACATATCCGATGAATTGCACAATGTGGGCTGTGCAGGAGATACTCCCCAGGAACCAATTGCATGAAATTTAGTGCATCAGAAGATACGTGTTCTTCACAGAAGGGCAAATGCTAGTGGCAGTTAAGGTTTAGGTTTAAGGCTCATATACAGTCCTGCAGGGAATTCTCAGTTCAGCTTTGGGGGTGGGGGTAGTGGAAAATTAAAGTCTCTTGCTGAATCACTGGAGAACTCTAGAAGAGCAGTTCATAGCTTATCTATTCAATTTGACTTTGACAAAGAAGCAGCAGAAGCAAGACTTTACATACTCTAAACTATGCTGTGGAGAAGAGCATAAAGCAAGTTGGTTGGAGAGAGTGTATACCTATTCACAGCCCTTCTCTCTACATATCTTCACTACTCTTAACTCCCTAGAAGACCTCGCACACCTTATCACCATAGCTAGTTAAACTGCAGGACTACTATGCATCTCACAAGGCATGGACAGGGAAAGCTTTGCTGCCAAAAGCAGATTTTCTCAACTCAACTGCAAGACACTCAACTCTTGAAGGCCACTACTGTCTCTGTCTTCCAGGCTGTCCTCTCTTGCTGGGAAAAGGAATTGTAGGGCATATCATTAGGATTTCTAGTGAGTAAGAACAATAAGGAAGGAGAGACTCTACATTCGTATCAGAGAACACTTTCTTCTTGCCACACTAAGTCACTTGGTAATTCTACAAGCCCATCTCATTCCCCAAGAAATCTCTAGATGGAACACACCTGTGCTGGACCTGATATATAGGGCACTCTTCCATACAGGAATACCTGCTTCCTTTCAAATGAAAAATCATAAGGTTTTTGGTCAAAAGTCTTAAAAGACATGAAATTCAGAGTGCAAACCCTCAAGTCATCCATCCAGAAAGCAATCTACACTTTACCACTCCATTTCCTGCCAAAATGTAGTGCTGTATTATATTCAAGAGAGTCCTTTCCATGAGAAACAGTAACCAAATATTTAGCTGTCAACAGAAGAGCTCAGAACCCCATAAAAACAAGGTGATTGGTCCTAAGAAGCATCAGCAGGGGCTGCTCAGGCACAAAACACTGAAAAGCCAGCATTCACTTGTACTCTTGAAAGAGTGCAACATACTTAGATCAATTTTGCTCACAAGTCAGAAAAAATTGCATCAGGACTCTTATTTATACATCAGAGTATCAGCAACTGACATTGGATCTAACCTTTTAAAGAGTTCAGCTTACCCCAGACACTTTAAACAGGGCTGAGGAAGAGGAGGAAGGACTTGTAATGGTAAGCATGAGGCAAACCATGCTAAAACGCTATTCCTCTAGTACTGCCCTAGAGCTAAAGGAGCTTCTAGGAAAGTTACATGTTCAATACACAATTCTGCCATTACCATGTAAGCAAAGGCAAGGAGAAGAAAAAAAGCTGAGAACTTTAATCCATTCCTATTTTGCAATAGGAATATGAAACTGGAAAGGTACAAGCAATAAATGCTTTTCTCTCACCATCTGTGCCACTCATCACATATATAGAGAAGCAAGCCTTAAGCCTCCTTCAGGAAGCCCATGAGATGTCACACATCCAAAAGCAATATAAAACCATTCCCTTTCCATACCCCAAACCTTTAAAAAGGGGGAAGGGATCAAGACACATGGGCCTGAGGGTCATAACAACACCCTGAACAAGGCCATCTTTACAGCAAATATATCTGAGAACCAGTTCCAAAGAGCAGCATGGCAGATAATAAAGTGACTCTGGTTCCCACCACTGCTAGGCTGAGAAGAATAGCCTTCCTTGTTAAGTGTTTAACAATGGGTAAGAAACAGCACAGGATACATGTTTTTTTTAAAAAAATCAGTGCTTCAGCAGCGCTCCCTGGCATGACACAACGAATCAGGATTTGTCTCTTTCCAAGAAGCTATATTTATAAGATTTCAAATATTTCTATTTTTTTCTCTTTTTTTGGAAATTATTTTCCCCAGAATACTCTCATGGCGGTCAGTTGGCCAAAACAACTGGCTGGAACGACTGGCTGGGATACTGCATGGCATTCAGATTATAGCTGAGTCCTTCCACGAAGGGCGACTTCTCCAGAAAGATGCTGTTGGTGCTCCCACCAAAGACCTGAGCCATGTCAAAGCTGCTGCTGCTGCTGCCACTGGCACTGAACTGGGATGCCGGAGGGATGCCATTTGCCTGGTTCTCAGTGGCAACTCCATCAAAGAAGAGGCTGCTAGCCCCTGGTGATCCACCATTGTAAACAAACTCCTTGGCATTGGGGGAGAGCTGAGACTGAGAGGCTGGACTGCTTCCAATGAAGTTCAGAGAATGCATAGACAGGGAGAGGCCTTTGTGCTTCAGCAGGCCATTGGTGGGTGACCGGGCCAGACGTTGCTGTGGCTGTGGAACATTTGCACCACTGGCGCTTGCCCCAGCTCCTCCACCTTTCTTCATCTTAGTTGAACCAAACTTTGTGGCAGCAAAAGTGGCAGTGGTAAAGGTAATGGGCTGGGCAGAGCGGGGGATGAATGTAGGGCTGGGTGACTGACCAAAAGATGGAGATGGAGAATTGGACAAGGAATTGTCCTGGCTTCCAATTGGGACAAACACCTGAGCATCAGGGTTGAAGCTGCTCTTAATCTCCTTGTCTAACTCAGCTGCACTGCAGCCCTCACTGTCATCTAGATACAAGACCTTGACTGACCCTTTCTCACCAATCTGGTAGGACACTTCAAATGGGTCAATCCAGACACTCAGTTCTTCAGGAACATTGGCTCGCACATCCTCTACAGCCAGTCCACTCCTCTTGGCTGCCATCTCCACTACAGGATCCACGGTCTCACCAATATGAACACAGCGGTAGCCAGAGCCCTTCAAGGGCTTTTCTGGATACCAATGGCCTTCATATTTTTTCTTCAGCAGCCGCTCTAGCTCTTCACCAAACAGGTCAGCCCGCCTCCGAGGAAGCTTGTTGTATAGATATGAGATGATGAAGTTCAGAGCAACTTTGATCTCCAGATGCATACTCCCTTCACAGCAAACAAGTTAGGGCAGTATATTAAAAAAAGGCAAATGACAGAAACATAGACAGATTTTGGCTCCAAATAATCCTGTAAAAGACGAGAGAATGAAAGACAAGAAGTAAGTATGGTACCTTTATACTATTGCAGTATGATAATTATATCTTAAGATGAAGAAGACAATAACCAGTACAATAACTAGTCAAATGCAATTTAATTAATAATACATAACTTAAGATTGTTATGGAGGCTAAAGTCAGGTTATTAAATGGCTGCTATTACCTGATAAAATACCAAATAATCCCAACATTTTTATTTAAACACAAGTTTGTAGCCTTCTTGGTTTTGGAGAAAAGTAAACTGTTTTCAATGGACAAGACCAGAAGAGCTTTCCTCATTCCAAGCAGTTCCACCAGGCCTATTTGGTCTAACACAGACATGGACAACTTGTAAGCCAAAAAAACTAGAGGTACACAACTCCCATGATTCCTTATCAATAGGTATGCTTTGCTAGGGCTAATGGGAATTGTGATCCTCCAAATTTTTGGCCTACTTGCCCATCCATAGCCTATTAGTTTGGTTTCAGATCTAAGCCACTGAGAAGAAATGGGTCAATCATATTTCCTAACACATTAGAAAACCGATTCCCAAAATTCAGTGCTACATCTGTGTTAAAAGTTTGTGCATGATGTTATTGTGAAAGAATACTTGTTGACTATAATCAATCTTTTGATAAATGTATTTTAGCATGACACAACATGGATATTCCTGTTTACTTGATATTTATTAAAAATTATACTCATAAACTGCCTTTCTTGCACTGTGGAACTGAAGGTGGCTACATGCTGCTCCCAGATGATCTTCCTTGCAAGCAGGGACCAGACCTGCTTAATTTCAGTAATGTAGCTGTCTCATGTGCCTTTAGACTATTTGCACTCTGCCAACAAATGAGACATAATCAGAACTGCAGGGAGCCTTGTAAGTTATCCAGTTTAAGTTCTTTCTCAATGCAAGAAATCCAGAGCTAAAGCATCCCCAAGATATGTTTATCTATGCTTGAAAATCTCCAGTGGGTAGAAGCACACAATTCCTTAACTATAGCCTTTTCTGACCTGCTGTGATCCAGATTATTTGGACCACAATTACCATCAGCCTCTGAAGTAAGCAGACAAGAAATCCTTCTCTTTTCTAAATGACAGCCTTCAGATATTTGAGTATGTTCTCATGTCCACACTCAGGCTTCTCTTTTCCAGGCTACACACAACCAATTCTTTCAATCTTTCCCCATAGCACTTGTTTTCTGTATTGCTGGTCACCTTACTTGTTTTCATCTAGATCCATCCTAATTTCCCTATATCCTTTTAAAAGTATGGTGCCCAGAAATAAACACTTTTGCTCCACAAGATGTCTGACTAATATAGAATAAAGTGGAGCTATTATTTCACATGCCTGGAAACTATGATTTTACTAATGTAATCATTTTTAAACAGACACATCACACTGTTGACTCATGTACTGATAAGCCAGGTATTCCCCTTCCTATACCTGTGCATTTTTCTTTGTCTAAATGCAGAACTTTGCATTTGTGTTTGTTAGTTTTAGCCCTACCTGTCATTCTAAATTTTCTTCTCCACAACATCATAGAAATTTTTCTCTAAGCACTATTAATAGTAATATAAGCTGGCTAGCCATGGACTAGTGTCTTCTGTACTCATGAAAATGACAAATGTGAGAGCCCAGTTTATCATATACTCCCACACTGACAGTACAGATCTACCCGCTAGTGATGCATACCTATAAAGCGTTGCAAGTGATGATTCACTCCACTGTGGTAACACCACCCATCCTGGACAGCCAATTGGTAAGTGGGTAACAAAAATTTAGAGCAGCCCTCTCTTCTTAAGACAGTTTCCCAAAAACAGAATATAGCACTGGTAATGAATTAGCAGTACCAACTGACTCTAAATAAGATCAATCAACAAGTAGTGCATTCATGAAGGCCCAGCACTCCATGGCACTCTCAGGAAGTACCGTGTGGTTTGCAAGACAAACTTTTGGCTTCCCAAACCAAAACTTCTCTTTTTATTAAGAATCAGGTTCCAAAAATTATCCACTAACTTGCCAATAGAACCTCCAATCTACATTCTACCAAATAATCTCCTAGGTGTCCCAGAAAATTAAGAAGAGAAGTTACAGTCTATTTAAACTGAAAGTTCTGCATATTATCGCCTTTCAGCTAAGATGCAGCATGTCTAGGTTTTAATGGAAGGTGAGAAGCAGACAAAGGCTCTGCTTCCTTAGAATCCACTACAAAACAAAAGGTGCCTACTAGCTTTTATGTCAAACTGTTTCGTTTGGTCTGGTATCTGTAGCTATGGAAAAATGTGAAGAATTAGGAATGAGAAAAACTTTAATTTCAACATAAGCAAGAAGGGGAGCTACCACATTAAGAGTATGCCTTAGATCCTATTTCTGAATATCTGAGCCAGTTTATTTGCCTGCCATGTTTGAAATTGCACAAGCATACTTAGAACAAGACTAAGTTGCACATAAGAAACTAATACCACATGATGGCATATTCAGTTGGTGACCTGTGGAGGAAAACTGCACAGTTAAACTATGGATGAGACAACTACATGGAGGGTTGGGCACTACATGATGGCTGTAAGCTACTTCTAGAAGCAAAGGCAACATACCTCTGAATACTAACTGCAGAAGAAAAGCAGCAGGAGAGCTCTATTATTCCCTGACCAGCTTATGGGTTGCCACAAGCATCTGCCTGGTCACTATGGGAAATAAGGATAATGAACAAGATTGGCCTTTGACCTGATCCAGCAGGACGTTTATGTTTAATTAAAACATTATAAAATAAAAACAGAACTCTGTATTAAAACATAACTTGGTGCATAAGCACAGGACTTTTATGCCTCATAAATTGGTACAAGCAAGGTAAGTGTTTTCCAAATAACTTACTCTGTATGTAGCTTTATTATGCTGAGAAAGCAGCCCAAGACCTTACAGCTTGTATTTCAGGAGTTGCTAGACCATGAGAAGTTCTATCATGACTATCTGAGTGTGCCTGTTAAAATAAACATGGAAATTGCCACAGGAGAAATTTGAGCAAGGCAACTTTCTGAAAGGTCAACTAGAAGAAGACTACTTTCAGGCAAATGCATAAGCAGCCACAAACTCCTTAAGATGGAACCATACTCTCAACTGATCAGCCAAAACACTAAGCTATGTTATAAAGTCTGGTTTACTTCTGCATCTGTTTATTATACTACAAAGTCTTAGTCCGGTGTGGTGAGGGCCTAGCAAGTTTGAAACGGTTAACAGGTAACATAGGTAAGAGATTTTATATTTTTAGGTCACAGGTACCACGAATTTGGAACCAGATACCATGCTTTGGTATTCACAGCATAAATCTAAACTCTCCCTATAGGGCAGCAAAAAGTGGTAGAAAAAGTGTTTTTCAGGAATTAGACAGAATTTCTGCCTATGTACTTGTCTATTCTCTTGGACAGGAAACTGATCAACTTTCAGTTGACCTCTGAATAATTATTAACAGGATTAAATCTCACTAAATTCAAAGAGCATTACTTCCAAGTAAGTTTACATAGGATTGCAACCTTTGGATATAAAATTATCTGCCTGATTTAGAAAACCTTCTTCAATTCAAACTATACTGAGATGTTTTGAGAGAAAATCTCCTAACAGTCTTTGAGATTATCTGCAGCTAAAGAATAGAAACACAGTCGCTCAGATCAGTCCATGTGTCCTTCGGTTCCCCTTTCAGAGAAACAGATTTATTACTCCTAGAGCAGTATGACTTTTTCATTACACTAAGATGATAAATGCCAAAAACAGGCATTTAACTTTCTAAAGTGCTTTTTAAAAATATTTATTTCTATGATGCTTTCCTCCAGCACATAAAGTTTATATTCATCCAGGTCCCTTATTCCCTAGACTGTTAACATGGCAACTACAGAGGAGACAACTGCAGGTGGCAAAGCATGTAAGTCAGAATTGTTCCCGTAGTTTTCTTGGCAAAACTTCCTTAATAGAACATCCAAGTCAACTCAAGACAGCCTACAACTGAATGTGTCAAAGCAAGTAGTAATTTACCTTGCATGTGATTCAGACACAAGACATAAAACTAAATAATAAGCTCTATGAAAATAGCCAATGATTCAGCATAAAAATGATCCTGACATCAACTCACAATGTCTCAAAATGCAGTATTTCTAGTTGTATTTCTTTTATATGCCATGATTCTACAACAATCCAGTCATATTACTGTATTATATGGGGAAAATAAATTTAATAATCTTGCAAGCTAAGTTTCTAGTCAGACCTTTCTTTAAAATAAATGCCCGTTTAAAAAGAAGCAATTATCTTGGGGTGGGAATCTGTGATGCTACCCATCCTAAAGTGATTTGAACAAATATGCCTGAGGCTTAGAACTGTCTGCTCTGTTTGCAGGCCACACCCAAGCAAAACAGCAGCTTTAAATTCAGCAGTCTCACCTCACTCATACCCAATTTTCATGGAAATAATCTAAATATCTGCCTTAAGCACAGATGTAATAGAAAGTGACGGTGCAGCCACAGAACATGAGAGACGGGGAGGCTGAAGGAGAAACGTTCTCGGCCGACAATTGCACAATCCACTCCCACTTCTGCCAAAACCACTTGCGTCTGTGGGCGTTATTCGTACAGGGCACCTCCCTCTCGGGCCTCCCCACACAGGCCAAGTTAATATCAGCTCTAAAGGGACCTGCTCTGTCCGCCCCTTATCCCCCACCCTCATCGGTGCCACCATCAATGTTCGCAGATTAGGTACTTGTAATAACCCTGTAGAGGAAATCTCCCCAACCCCTTTCTTAGCCTTTTCCCTCAGGCGCCGAGTGTCCGGGGAGTCACACTACGTAGCGAGCTCAGTTTCTTCTACAACAGGCAGCGCCTGGGTGAGTGACCTACTTTGCCTTTTAACTACCCTTCTCAATATGCTTTGCGCCAAAGCTGGCCCAGACGAGGAACGCCTGCTCAGTGGAGCACAGTACAAAATTTTCCACGGCGCATGCGCTCTCCGCACTCTATTGCTCAACGAAGCCCCCCACCCTTGCCATTTTGCGTTGGTGCATTATATCGAATATGCCGAATTTCTCGCCCTCTTTCTACCCTATAAGGAGAGGGTTGTGGGGTGGAAAAGGGATTACGCTGAAAGAAACGTCTTCTCCGTTTATTCTTAAATTTGTAGATCAATATCCGTTTCGACTTTCCACTTTGCAAGCAGACCACTGCTTTCTCCTACACATACCTAATCTCTCCCCACTGTATCTTTTAATCCTAGGCCTACAAAGATAGTAGTACAAATAACGAATACAGTCCGATTCTTACACGTTTACCTGAAAGTCCGTCTCCAGACGGTCACTGAACCTGCTTCCAAGGGAGTCTGGGATTGAGGCCCTCAAACTGACAACCATTCAAGGCCTCGGAATGTCTCCTCACCCTTGCGGAGGGAAAAGTACTTCCCTTTCCTACTACAACGCAAAACCAGGCAACACCCCCCTCCCCATGATGCTTCCATTGCGCCTATGATAGCAATGCTTCCCTCCACCTAGTAAGCGGAGCTTTGACAGGAGGCCTAAACGGATGGGCGGGGATGAAAAGGAATAAAACAGGCTATGTCCGAGTGAAGGTTATCTGGAGCTGACCTTTCTTTTTAGATTCCGTCTGGAAAAAGTTCAGGCCAATTCCAGCTCTCTTCTACAGGCGGATGCCCAAGCTTTCTGTAAAATCTAATCCAGCTAACAAGCAGCCTCCGCCACTCCCCCACCTTCAAAATATGCTCCCCCCCCCCAAACATCTCTATCCCTTTTCAAGACTGCGTGTGCGGAGGAAGAAAAAGCACGCTCCAAAATTAATTTGAGGCAAGTATAACCTATACAGCGTTGATTTTGGGCCCGGAACGCCAGGCCTATACCCTTACAGCCCACATAGGGGTCCCTGGGCCTAATATACTTCACAGGGCAGATAACAAGGATGAATGAGATAAAAACTACAAAAGCTCTTCTGACACCTGATAATGTAATGCTACGTAAAGAATCCCTGCTATTTTATTCTACTGAACCCCCGGCCCGCCCCTTTATTAATCTTCGGGATAAGGGAGCAAGTTCACCCCACTTCAGCGGGGGAAGGGGGCTCTCATTTCCGCACTTCTTTTTGTCTGGGTTTGTGACATGAAACCCTAAAGAGGCCCTCAGGACTCCATTCCGAGGAGCGAGGAAGAAAGTTCTAGCATAAAAAGGGATGGAACCATCTTTTCTGACAAAGCCAGGCTGGGTTAACCCCTAAATTTCATGAAACAAGCGATCATCCTGCGGCCTCAACCCCGGAAAATTTCCCACTTCACTCCAGCCCTTCCCTCTTCATCTGTTTATGACCACAGTTCAAATCCTTAAAGAAAGCAAAGGGTCTGAATTAGCTCCCGTGTTTTCTCTACTAAGCAATACACACCTGGGGGAGGAAAAACCGAGAAATATTTATTGCACCATGAACAACCATAAGATTCGTTTTTAGCGAATTATTTCTTGTTTGTTCCGGCTTTTTTAAAGGCCACCCACGACTCCAAACCAACGAGCAAAAACAAAATGGTGAACTGAAGACATTTTTCATCCATTCATACCAAATGACTTTCAACGTCCCTCCCTCCTGAAATTAAAGACATCGACAATCACTTCTGGAAAGAGTTTAAGAAATGTAGCAATATTAAGAGAGTGTGCGTGGGTTTTTTTTTTTAAAGAAGCAGAGCAGATCTAGCCGTAATCTGAGCAGAAGCCGAAAATTCTCAGAGGGAGCGAACAGAAGAACGAACCTAAGAATGACTTCTCAGAACCAGACTTGGAAGATCGACAGCTTCTGAAAATAATATTAAAACTGCTCTCTAAAAAGGAATACTGGGAGAAGAAAAACCTGAAGAAAATTGAACTGGAGTGGGGGAAACATCCTCGATCTAAATGTTTTTTAAACCCCACGATATCGAAATGGTGTAACTAAGGAAATCACTTCTTTTTCTTTACCCCTACCCCTCAGTTCTAGCAATCAGCCATCACTTACTTCTTTTTTTCAGCACCAGTTGAGATGATTTGGTGGCTTCTTTTTCTTTCCAAGGTGTTTCTTAGGAGTTTCTTTTTCACAAAGTGCTGATGTAGTAGTGGGCGTTCGATTTTTTTTTAAATTAAACGGATGCTATTTGAATAACTTCTCCCCCTTCTATAGGCCGAATCAGAAGTGGGGTGAGGGGATGTTGACTGGGGCGCCCCTTCTTCCTTCCCTCCCTCCGCAGGGAACCTAAAGCCACCCTCTCCCTGGCCCAAAGTGAGCAAAGTAAATGAAAACTTTCACCCTTAGCAACCCTGCGTAAGGATATTCTCTTCCACACCCAGGGTGACGCGTCCTGCAAAGGACAAGGAAGGGGAGGAGGGGGAGGGAGGGCCGGTACTACTTCCCCAAACGCCGGCTCTAAATTAACCCGTGCAATGCCGAATTCACGCTGGATTCTCAGCTACTTGGAGAAGCCATCGCTCAGAAAAAAAGTCCGTCATTTGCTGCTCGGATGTTTTCTTGATGTCTTAATTAACTACCCATTTTTCATGTTGTGACTGTAGTGGCCTATAATTACGATGTTTTTTGAGCTCTGACAGACAACAAACTTCACAGACTTTACTGAGAATTTACCAACATCGTGAAATGCAGGTTATATCTCCTATTCCGAATAAACATGCATAGGATCGGCTGCAACAAATTTCAAGTAGTTCACTGAAGGCTCCCTCTCTTTCTTTATAATCTAGGCTACTTAAACTAGAATATCTATCAACTTCTGGTTCCAGACGTGGTTTCGGACTAATGAAGATTATTGATAATTAATATTGACACATTATAAAGAATTCACTGAGTGGGAAGATTCTATCATGTGCAAAAATTGTTGTATGCCGAAATGGTTAAACAGTGGCATACCACAAAGGCAAGAAAAGCAGCAATTTACTATGCTATAAAACGACAACCTCTGCCTCCAAACACATTCAGGATTTAAGTGCAGTCCTTTGACTGTTGAACCGGACTATTTGCAACTGCATTATTCTAGTTGAAGGATTCGTTCAAAACTACAACACAGATTATTTCTTAATATAATCTATCTTTAATGTTAATCTATTGAATCCAAAGCGTGTTTATTCTCCAATTTCCATAATATGTGTTAGCGCTGTAGTGATTAACCCAGTAAAACAAAGGCTATGATAACAGAACTAGGTGACTTAAAACTGTTACTGTCAATTGTGGATTATAGTTAGAATTTTGCGGCCCTCATCTGCTCCTTCGGGTCCCAGTGTCCATATTAAATTTACCTCTCCAAGGATTAGCTACGTGCGGTTTAAACACGTATTCTTTTGACAGATGCATAGATGCAGAGAACTAGCATTCTCCAGTGGAAGGTTTTGCATGAAGAAATAGAAGAGGAGCCCTGGGAATCCTGGAAAAGGTGGTTTGAACCATTTCTCGCTTTCCTCTGAATGGTTTTCTTCGCAGGGTGGTCGCAAGGAATTTAAAACTTCCCACTACCCCGAGCGCTTCTGATGTACTGAAACACAACGGGGAAAACAGGTTGAGTCAAGGGCCGCACGCACGGTATTTCTTTTGGTTTGTAGAAACAACAAACCAGTCGTAACGGAGGCAGAACCTTAGTTCTCATCTCGATGTTTCTGAGAATGCTTTTCAGAATAGGGTTACTAAATCCTGGCTGGACACGGGGGTGGGGAGGGGTAATGACAAAGAGTGTATTTCGACGGTGCTTTATAACTCCGTATTGAGTTAATGCCAGCCTAAACCTTGCTAAACTTGCCTTGTCATGTCAGGAAATTACAGTTCAGACCATGAGATCTTTTTCAAAAATGGCAGCTCTAAATTTATTTTAAAAAACAAGGGCCAGGACTCGGGGGTTGCCTAGAAACCATCGATTGCCACTTGGGAGTCCTGTGGCTCCTTAAAATCTGCTTCCTTTATGAGGGTATGGACTTTAAAAAAAAGAACTGGAAATGCATGAAGCGGACTTGAACCCCGTAGCTTCGATGGAGCGGGCACCCGATGGCAAGTGTAAGGCGCAGCGCTCCTCCTCGAGGCTCTACGCTTTGGCTCTGCATAGTGAAGGGGTCCAGTCATGGCTTACACTGAAAAGAGGTCTTGGGACCGAGCCTGAATTTAGGTATTTCTGTGACCTATCCTCAAATTTCGCGTGTTCATTTTAGCTGAGAGGGATCCCTATGGTTAAAATAGACTAGTGAGATCAAACAACGCATCTAATGTTAAGTGATCAGTATTAAAACCTTTTCTTTGGCCCCATAATTCTTCTAGTTTGCACTTGATCCGAGTATGTTTTTAAGGACCGAGTACAATACTAAGCATTATACACATACAATAGATATGTATATGACACGCACGCGCGCTCACACACACACACACACTTGCGAACGCGCCATCAGGACTGTTCGTGAGTTTCGTTTCTTACAGCACACCAACTACAGCCTTAACACAAGAGCACAAATTTTCCTTGTTTATTTCTATCCATCAAATGCTGGAACGTATGCAAATCAGCTCACATCTCCTAAACAAAACCCCACAAGGCACGGATGTCAGATGGCATTTTAAGTATTCATGGACACGGTTTCGCTACTCTATCTCGCAATGGCTACTCCGCACGATGTAGGGACTACTTTTTAATCAGTGCGCCTGTGCACTGCCTTCGTCAACGTAGCTTCAGACGCAAGCATTGAGATAAGCAGAACAACCTGCAAGGTGTAGAAGTGCGGGCTGTGCTAAAAATAACAGCACTCTGTTAGCAACAGCTTTCCTATTGGCTGGAAACGTCGGAGGTTCTGCAGATTGGTTTGTGGCATTAACCAGTAAACTAAAAGTGTCTCTGTAGAATTGGCAGTGCAAGGAGAAGGTTGATGGGAAGTGTAGTTTTTGTACAGATTCCCCAGATCTAAACGAATATTGCCAAATGAAAATTAAAAACAACAGTATTAGGCAACTGTGTTGTTCGAAATAAGGATTTTGAACGTATTGTTCAAAATAAGTGATAAGTTGTATTTGATTTGCTCTTATGGATAGAAGTGCTGTTTTGATATCTTCTATTTATAGAGCATTTTAAGGATGCAGGAAAATACATATATTCACACAAGCAGGGGGCTTACTCAATATTAATTTAACTATCTGGATACCAAAAGAGATGAACACAGGACAATTCAAACTGCTCTATTGGAACATGTTTTGTATGGTTAGAATACTCTTCTCCACTGAGTTGTACCTTCTTCCTGAACTATTCCCCTCTTCCTCATTAAAGACAAATCTGCAATAAACACTTGAAACACATGCGATTCCCCCCACCCCCACATCTGCTACCTTGAAAACTGGATTCTAACTGCTTCCTTGTAAGTCCTACTAATTTCAAGGCTACCCAGTGGGCACAGAATGTTTACTGCCTATTACAGGAAAATAATGAAAATGGGTGCTAATTTATATGAAAAGTTGCAAATTTAGAAATAATTGCAAGAAATTAAATTTCACAGAAGGCAAGCGTATTAATTACCCATCCAAAGCACCAAATATGCTCTCCTGAATTTGTGCCTGATCCCCAGGTCACCCCAAATGAGTTATTCCTTCTAATCTCCCCAGTAATTTCCCAGATAGATCTTCCTCCAAATCAAATTCCCTTTTAATGTTTCCCATTCATCATACCCCACATATCACTTTTAGGTTTGAGGTGAAGAAAGGTAGAAGATTCTTTAGATGAGAGCCAGTGTGGTGTAGTGGTTAAGAGCATGGGACTGGGACTCAGGCGATCTGGGTTCTAGTCCCCGCTCAGCCATGGAGCCAACTGGATGACTTTGGGCCAGTCACAGACTCTCAGCCCAACCTACCTCACAGGGTTGTTGTTGTCAGGATAAGATGGAGGAGGAGAATGATGTAAGCTGCTTTGAGCCCTTTGTAGGAAAAAGGCAGGCTATAAATCAATAAATACATAAATAAAAATAAAGATGGTAGTCAGAAAAATTAAAACCTCTTTTGAACTTTTTAACAAGATTGTGTGAGAGCCTATGTAGACAAGAGAGAAACAGCTACCTTTGGGTGGATGAGGTATTAAGACAGCAATCCTCTAGGCATGTTTAACTGAAAAGTGTGCACACTTTGAGCAACTTCCATTCCTATAATATTCCCAAGATCCCTTCTTCATTCATATAATTCATTCAAATTAATTCAGTGAAATCTACTCCTTGGTCAGTGTGTATATGATTGCAGCTTAAGTATTTCTTCTAAAATTTCTCTCTCACAAAGTGTATACTGGGGCACAAAACCTAACATTTTCTAAAAACAGGTTTGATGACAAACTAGCTTCTCTGACCTTTGTAGCAACCCAGATGTCACTTGCTAGGCCTATTTGTTTAACATCAGGCTATGAAGAATCTGGATTTGTGCATCTCTAATATAAATGTTTAAGATGGATGACATTCTATGAGGTCTTAGTATTTACCTGTACAGATGTATTCAGCTTGAAATGTGTCAGTTTTTAATATGAACTATTAATTACCTAGCAGAAATAATTACCCATCTAGGGCTCATAAACTGCAGACTTCTAATACTGCTTTTTGTCAAAATAGAAAGTCAGGGATTCTTTAGGTGCATTTACGTATCATTTGCATTTGGTTCCACAGGACTGTTGTTCAAAGGATATCGCAACTAAAGTCCCATGATATGTTGTGTGTACAAAAGAGAATAATATCTGGGATATGAGCAAGGAGATGGATACAGAACTGGAAAAGACTGTTAGTGTTAGGAGGTAGTTAATGAAGAAAGGAGCAATGATTAGAAAGGGTAACCAGACAACAAGAAAGAACGGACTCCCCTACCTCTAATAGCAGTGCACAAAAAGAAATTGCTATGAAAACTGTTCAACATTAAGAGGAATGCAAAAAGCTGCACATTACATTATTTCTTCTACACAGCTATTAAAGGTTCAGGAGGTCTGCAGCTTTCTTTCAGGGCTGGGTTATATGGGTGTAGAATACACAAATTCCTTCTTTCTTGGAAATAGGAACGACAAGGATGGTGAGGGAAGGAGAATGCCTGGAGGGAAAGTGTGAAAAGAAGTTTATAAATCCATGTTGTAGAAGATGACATGAAGGTAAGACTTCCTACAATATTTGTCTGCCAGTATTTGATAGTGGGGTACATGGCTTCTGAAAACAAAGGTTCCATGATCATAGCTAAAACCTTTACTAGACCTCTCCCCTCCGCAAATGTGCATAACTTCTTTAAAAAGCCATCAAGGTCAGAATCTTCACAATACTCTGTGGCCCTGAAAGTTAACTGTACTTTAGGGCAGAAAAAAGGGGGTAGGGTAGAGAACTGGGACACAAGATTTGGAGCAGTGAGGAGAGAAATTGGTTACAGAGATGCAAGGTAGCAGGAGGGAAAGGTCAATTTTGCACTATGGGAAATCATGACCCTATTCTACTTCCACAGGATCTCCCCAGCCAGAAGTGTTGTTGCTTGAACAACTTGACTGGTCCCCAGGCACTCTGCCTACTCCCATTTTTGTCCCTCAAGCTCTCCCCCACAGCAAAAAAGAGAAGATCTACAGATCTGCAGGTTGACTGAGTTTCAGGGCACTTAGAAATATATTCAAGAAACAGTTTGAGTGGGCTCACTTTGAGCAACTTCCATATCTATAATAGTCCCAACATCCTTCTTCATTCCTGTCTATAGTTTGAAACTTGAAAAAAAGAAAAATCTGAATTGAAACTTTCCAGCAATTTAAAGACAATTCTGATACACAATATTGATGTAGCCAGTTTTTCCTTGCTGTACTAGAAGCCTTAGTCTTACATAACCTCATCATAGCAAAATGGTGCTAGAATTTTATATATTCATATTAGTCCCTAGTTCTAAATAAAATGAAACCAGAGGTTATTCATGATTATACATGTTGATGTTCAAACTATGTTAATATGGTTTACTAACAACATGCAAGTAGAAACTCAATTGTTTTTTCTTAACTATTTCAAGACAAAAACACAGGTGAGCTATTCCTGTACGGTTTGTCATTGTATGAGGTATTCCTGAACAGTTTGTCATTGTATTAGATGGCAGGCAAAGGGGGGAAAAACCCATCCTTCCTCCATACTAGTTTAGCTATTAAGTTTTAATACCAGGAAAGACCAGTCTATAATTGGCTCTAATTAGTACTCAGTCATCTCAGCGTTATGTGCACATCACTTGACACTTAAACCCCAAGGAAATTAGTTCTTTCCTGCCTTTCAAACGAATAAACAATGTACCAAGAAGCTCTATGAAGGCACAAAACACAAGAGTTAAGACAGACAGACTTATTTAACCCAAATGCTTTTCCAATTTAAGCACCATCTTAGTGTGGAAGCTGGGACTTCTATAGTGGTAAGCACTGTTAAAAAAGGAAGCACAAGCTTCCCAAACCCGTGTACCTTGATTAAGTAGGAAATTATCCTACTCCAACTAGTATATTAGAGGGAACCTTTTTTCCGCCTCCTTAAATTGATTTACAATGCTATATATAACAGGAATAACTGTATGTTTTACAGATGTTCTGTCCCCTTTGAACTCCTCCTCCTAAGCAAATTATATTGCACTTTGATTGGTTAGAGAATTGCTTTCCTGACAAAATGACAGTAGGGCAACGTTTAAGAAACCTATGAGTAATAAACCATCTATGTCCAAGACAACCATTTGGCCATAAGTTGGTCAGAAAGATGATTAGGCATGTGATTTAATGATTCTGGTAGTCAGTAATGGGTTATATTACAGGCTCTACCATGTCTCTTCACATGACTCAGTCCCAGCTTAGTAGCTGTGACTCCTTTCTTGGTTTAGGCAAAATATTGCATGTGTTTTCTTTGTGTAGGACTCAACCAACTGTGCATCCAATGAGGCACCCAGGCCCAGAGCAAAGCATAACATCCTTTCAGCAGGGATGGCTAAAGTGCTACATATTAACAACTCCTGAAATCTCAAGCTACATGAAATACCTCTTTTATAGGTCCATTGAAATGAATGAGACCTGTAGAAGACTATATCACAACTGCAAAACACCAATCCCTTCCAGTGGGGACTTGTTCAGGACCAGTCTTGATTCTCTGCCCACATTCTTAACATAACATTTTCCATCTGGCAATTCCCTTGTAATCATAATGGAAACCTCTAAGGAAAATACATTATACATTATTATAATTATTAAAACAAAACACTTGGTATTAAAAAGATGATAACAAGAATTTTGTGTAATGAGATCAAAAACCAACTGCAGAATCTTCCTCAGTCAGTTGTTCAGAACAGAATAAGATGCAGCTTTCTACTTAGAGTTAACGTGTTGTTTTGTCACCTGGCTGGTTTAAGTCTAGATAAAGTATGAAACTACTAAAGATGAACACAGTAAAGAGAAGGGCGGGGATCTCTTTCAGTTGCGGGTTGTATTCCATTTCAGAGAAGTTGCTGCAGACATACATTCCAGTGGTGGGTTGATCCAAAAACAAAGAGGGTGGGGCAAAAACACCCCTCCCCCCAAGTTATTGTAGCCTAAGCTACAATACTAAGCCTTAGTTGAGGCATTTCAACCTTTTAAAATGGGGGCGAAGCAGCACAAAACCCAAGAAACCACTTAACAATTACTGTGAGAGGCATGTGGCCCTAGGAAGAAAGGATATGGCCATCTGAAAGTCCTGAGGGACAATTTGGAATCCCAAGAGGGTCAGATTTGGTGCCTGACATTCCCTACTCTTGAATCAAGATGATCATAAAAAGAGATGGGGGGATGTTAGGGAAACTTCAGCCATGTCTCTATGCACAAGAAATTAATGTATTTTTAGCTCTCCATTTCCATTTGGGAATCACAAAGCCCTTGTATGAGCTATAGCAGAAAAGCAAATTTCTAAAAGGACTGCCTATACAGCTATGAAAAGCAGTGTTCAATGTTCTATGGCACTCCATTGTGATATAGCAAGGGCATCCAAGGCAGATCTATGCACATGAAGGGATAGAATTATTCAGGTAATGATGGGTTTACTGTTTTTATGGCAAGGTTAGGAACAAAGTTAGATCTGGCTTAATGGTGTCCTTGTATGCATTATTTCCTCCCTCCTCTGCCATATACATGATTGAGGGTCATCTGTATCTGCTGACCCTATTGTGGTGAAGGGAAAACCTGTCCTCTAACTCTTGCAGTTGATAGCCCAATCCCTTCACCTACAGAAATCCTGCTGAATAGTGCATTTCCCAGTGGTCCTTACATTGCCGTGTTTTCCTTCCAGATACATCCAAACCACCATGACAGGCATTTTCCAGCATTATATAACAGGCTGTTTAATAATTGCAGATGACATCTAAGGAACAGAGATGGTTAAATTGACATCTTTTAAAAATTACATCTCTAATTTTGCAGGAGCAACATGAACAGAGAGTATCTGTAGCACACATTCTATACTACATTCACCTACACAATAATCCGAAGAAATAGGCTTTTAGTGGCTGAAATATAGCAACTAGGCTTTGGATGGGCATCATGTAGGTTCATGGAGATTGTTCTCTTTGGGGGCTGTATCGGTTTATAAATCTTGCAACTGCAGCATAAGATGATGGCATGAGTGACTACAAATCCGCAGTTTCCAAGAACTGGGTTCATTAACTTTAAGGTACTGCAGACCACAACTCGGTAATATTGGTTTCCCTGAAGATATGCTAAAGTAGGCCTGCACAACTAGTAATCCATCAAGTTGAAAGCAGCCCACTAGCCTTGCTATTGCAGAACTGACAGCCTCCTGGTTTCTGCAGTTCCAGGAAGGCAGCAAAACCAGTCCCAGATGGCCATGTATGAATTCAGCTTGATGGAGCACAACTTAGGCAGTCCCAAAATGAAAAACTGCAAGAGATTCAGGATAAAATCCCTTCTATCTGAACAGTCCACTTTTCCATTGTCACTTTTATTGGAATGTTAAGTATTATAACAAACAAGGAACACATTTAAGATATCTGTGCCAAGTAGAAGCTAAATCCATGTTGCTGAGAAAGCACGTAAGAATGGAAATATTTTTTTTCTACTGAATGGTCCTATGTCTACCAGACTAAACATGCATGCCTTTTATTCTTTCATCCCATCACATATTTCCTCTTTTCCCTTACATACCCCTTTCTGCCAATCCTTCCTTGTGGTACCTGACCTCTGAATAGGAATAAGTGGAAGAAGTAGTTTGACTATTCTAATTTATATTTGAACATGTTTCACTAAGCATAGTGAAAGATAGGCTCAAAATAGTGCTGATCATTTGTATTTCAGTCAGTCAAAGGAACCATAAATTGGATTGCCCTTCAACATTAACTCAGTAAGCTTTTAGTGCTATTAACAATTTTAAACATTTAAAAATCAGGTAAGGTCAGGATTTTGGGACAACTTGTTTTGCATACATTTCAAGTAAACAAATACAGAACAATCCAAGCCAGTGTTTGAAGAACAGTATTTGGCATTATACTGTAGTCCTGAATAAATATGCCTTGCCTAATGGGCACCCTAAGCACTTCGGAAGTTAGTAAGGTCAGTTGAGAATTATCTTCTAAGAAAACTAAATCTGAATCCAGATTTAGAGATATGTTGCTGCTTCCCTTAATGAATTTATTCTGTAACAGGTGCTTTCTATTAGGTAGAGGCCACCGCAGTACTTCAAAATCTGTGTTAGTACTATACCTCTTTCTTTCACCCACTACTACTTTCCTACATGGATTACAAGTTGTATACAACATCTGGCTGTGATTTTGAACCTAGTAATCATAGGTCACAGCATTGCCATTTATGGAATGGAAAGATTAATCTAGGCTAGGCAACACCCATCTTTTTATAGCCTGCTTCTCATGGGCCTTTGTACTAGCAATAAGATGTTGTTTTCCTGCTGCTGAACTAGTTCTAAGTGGATAACCACACTAGAACAAAAGTGGGTAATTCTCAAGAAGCAGTCAGACTTTCACAGTACAAGACAATAACAGTGATTTTACAGTATAACTATATTGTACTGGTGCAAGAAACACAAGTTAGGGCAACACCAAGTGCTGTTCCATAAAACATCTCAGTGTTGTGGACTTCAAAGGTGTGATGGGTGGAAGGTAACACATTACATCCATTTTCCTAATCATCTCTTAGAAGAGAGAATATGGATAGAGAGATACAAAGACAAGAGCTTCCACCAAAAGACTACTATAAAACTTTATTGAGCCATAATTCACAATTACAGGGAACATAGACTAGTTGTTGCTTCAGAAGAAATCATAGGAATGGTCAGAGCTCATAGCAAAAGGCATCAGACAAAATAAAGGAAAGTTGCTTGTAAGTAAAGGCATGGCTTGGGAGTTACAGCAGCTGAAATTTTAACTTCCTTCCTTTGAGGCAATGATAGTTGTTTCACTCCGTAACATTAGCTAATACTAAGAAAAAGCAAGAAAACCAATAACCACCAAGTTTGGATGTAGGTACTAGTCTTCCAACAAATAAGATGTACTAAGAACAAAACAAAATTAACTGCTTTCCAGTAAAAATGTAGTCCAAATATATTTTAGGAAGCCTTCCCATCTCCAGCAATTGCACTGCAGTGGAGATTAGATCACCTTTTCTTGAAGCCGTATTTCTTTCGCTCATAGAAGAGATCTGTTTTTGAACTGCCCAGGTTGACAATCTTGGGACAGCCATCTCTCTGAAATGTAACAGGAGATATAATTATTATAAGCTTATTACATGAACTTCAGAACAGGTCAGATAAGGGGAGTGGGAGCAACTGATTAAAGCCTAATAGACACACTGGCTACAGTTAGCTATACCACCCTCCCACTCAAAGTCCAACGATTTAGACATCTAAGGTTGCTGTCATATACATGCCTTTGGTTAGAAGCAAGCCCCACTGAACATCTGATTGCACAATTTAGGATTGTGCTGCTGCAGTTCAACTTCTCAGCTAGCAATCTGCAAATTCTGCACTTAGAATAAGTTGTTTACATCCCCCGCCCCATTATTTGAATACTCTGACCCTGGCATTGGGGCTTCACAGAATTCTGAATATTTTCACAAGGACTGGTGAAATAAAAGAAAATGACATCAAACACTGAAGGAAAATTTTAAAAAGGGACAAATGAAGGAGACAGAGGGTTGATGACTCTGTCATATTTTGAGTAGAGCCACTTAAAGCAGTTAGACTCAAGTCTTTAACTTGTCCTGCAGATTTTAAAGGGCCTATTCTAAGTATGACTAATTCTATATCTTGGTAGGTACACAGGTAGCTGCACAGCTCCTTGCAAGCCCTACCTCCAAAGCTGCGTATGTGTTTGAAGGCTGCTTGAACTTTTTGCAGATACCATCTGTATGTTTTCAGATTCCATTTAACCCCCACAAATGCTACAAAATTATTAAAAATTAAGAGATCCACATCCCCAACAGCTGAACTCTTCTAAGACAAAATAACACAGGGATGAGAAATTACAGGCAAAATCATTTTAGGTACAATGTGTAGGTATAATCATCATTTTCCTTTGTGGAGAGTACTTGATAGCAAAAATTGCTATTTTCTTTAAAAAAGCAATGTTTGAATGTAGGTTGCATTGGAATATTGTTGGTCTGGTCTGGTCCTAAAATAGAATATACAACATCTCTGGTGGAAAACTAGAAGAACCCTTCCCAAATTTTTCAGTCCTGGCACTATCACCAAAATGTTTGCATTGTTCTTATTCCATTCAGCAAAAATAGCAAAAACTAGTTTAGTGCATTCCAGATGATGCAATAACTAGAATACTTTTAAAAAAAGTTAACAAAGATTGAGTGGCTATTCCACAGAAGTGGAGAAAGATGGCTAGATGGAGAAAAGAATTATGAGATATAGAAAGCACAGGGATAGCTAAAAACAAGGTAGAAAAGTTGAACATATCCTGTCAAACAAGTATCAGAGAAAACCTGTACATTTGTGTGCATGTAGAAATGCCACAAAACATTAGTTTATAGAGATTATAAACAGTTTACACAGTTGGAGAAGGCTGCTGCTGACACAATAGCTACAGGATTAGCAGGGACCTAGCCAGTATTTGCTACTGAATATGCCAGAGTAAATGGCACACAAGAAATCCAAGGTCAGTATGACTTGCTGTTCAAACACCAACTATGATAGGGGTAGAAACATGGGACAGGTACAACTACAGCAGTTAGCTTGTGTGCCTTTTTTGGTACTAGATTACATCTGCAATCCTTCCAGAAGATGCTTTACCCCAAGGAAATCATTTCATGGCTTTCCCATCTGAATCTGATTTTTAGTTTCTAATTCCTATTTTCTAGAAAACACTTTCATTATTTCTGCTTTCTGAAAAACATGTTTTTAGAGAGGATAAAAGCTGGCCTGAAAGACTGTGATTATTCCAGTCGTCCCCCCCACAAGGCAACCATGAGCAACAATGGTTCCTGCAGGGACCTCCAATGGTGCACATGTTGCTTGCTACTCTCGCCTCCTTCAAATATCTAATTTTAATTTTAAAAGCATTAAAATGATAAACAAGTCAGGCCTTCACTAGCCACATCCTCCATTGGAACCATTTTGTGGTGATACCCACAGCAATTTCTCAAATGCCAAATGTGCCCAAAGTCCAAAAAGGTTGCAAACTCCTGAATTATATGCTATGGTCTTGCTGTTTTATCATAAGCTTGATTTGGATATGAACTTCATCATATCCTGTCTTAGCTAGCTTGTGACAGTACTCTGTACTATTGGTCTACTTTCTTTGCATTCCCCAACAGCCCTGTGATTTCTTTTAGAGCCAAGAAGAATTCAAGCAGGCAGTCAACACACATTCAACCAGACATTCACTGTTGATCTGTGCATGAACCATCCTGAATACCGTGAACTAATATACTTCATAACATCTCAAACGCAGCATGTTTAAAATGAAGGCAGTTTTAACGCATTTTTACATATTTAGCTGCAAATAATCAAGTGATGCAGATGCACACTGAATCAGGCTACAAAAGTCATTTTCTTTTTAAAAGTCCATTCTTTCCAAGACTTTCCAGCATACTCAGAACTCTACCTTTTCCAAACACGAATCAATTGCTCATTGCTCCAATTATAAGCTCCATAAAATATAGCTAGCTGGGCAGGATCCAAGTTATCTCTGTGTAGCAACTGTTACAAGTTGTGTTTTATTTTCCAGGTTATTTATTTATTTATTTTAGCACATGTATGTCACCAACTATCCCAACAGGACCTCTAAGGTGGCTTACAACAGTAATCAAAAACACAATTCTTAAAAACAATACATCATATAAAAACATAACAGCAACAGTATCATAACAGCCATTTTAAAATAACGGACAACTATGTACACCATTAAGATCAAATAAATTAATCAGTTGTTAAAATACTTGGTAAAGACAAATGTTTTTACCTGGTGCTGGAAGGATAAAAATGCTGACACCAGGCTAACCTCTCTGGGGAGCCTATTCAATAAGTCACCAAAAAAGTCCTTTTCCTATTTGCCATCTCCCTCACCACCTTGAGGGATGGCTCATTCATTCATTCATTCAGAACATTTCTGTGCTGCCCTCATCGCAACAAAGCCTTGGGGCGGCTCACAAAGAATACATAAAAACATAAATAATAATAATATAGCAATTAAAAAAACATTAAAAACCCCAGTGCATTCTCAGGTAAAAGTTTTAAAATCCTAATGAATTCAATAATTTAACAATTAAAATAAGTTTTAAATAAAAAGGACTTAGCCTGGCACCAAAAAACAAATAACTTGACCTGCTGCTCATCCCTATTCCCTTGATCTCAAAGCAAAGGATGGAGTGATCACTCACATCCAGAACTCCCCTAATTTGTACCCCATTATCAGCTCCTCCCTGTTGGTCAAAACAAAGTTAGGGATATGTCCCTCCCTTGTAACCTCCCAGACCCTCTCCTTAAAAAAACATTCCTGTAGGAAGCGACGTGACCTGTCTTTCACTGCTGAGTCTCCCAACTAATATTAATTAATTAATTAATTAATTAGAAGGACCTCTTGCCCAGATCTTAATGGGCAGGTATGTAGCTTCTCTGATGGAAGGGATTTTTGTTTAATATTCATTACTGAACAGCTGTGACATCTGCTGTGACAGGAATTTTTGATCAAGAAAAACAACCCCTATAGGATGGTAACATTATACGCCCCCAGTTTAATATACTGCTTCAGGCGCGAGGTGTCCTAAATTCAAGGAATATTAGAAAGGACTAAGGAGGGCTGTAGCAAAATAAAAATATTACAGTACTACTTAGACATTTAGTCTACATTATTAAAAATATCACTGCATTACAGTGGCTACTAGTTGATTTACATTATTTTACCAGTGATTCAACTATGACACTGTCCTTAAAAATAATTTAAAACAATTTTGAATAAACAAACATATTTCCAATGTACTATAATCTAAGGCATAAATGAATTCTATGTGATTGCAGCAATAAGTTTTCCTGGAAGAGTTTGAAATTTAAAACATGCATATTTTGAGGGCTTTTTTGAAAAAGACACAAATAGAGAGCTTCATTGAAAAGGAAAGGCACACATGTAATAGTAATCAAAATTAAGGTATCAAAAGTGTTAGATCTTCATTCAAGTTATTCAACTTTATTCTGAGGAAACATAGTCTAAGAACATGTTCTATCTACTTCAGAACAGTAAAAGGTAAACCCTTGTACAAATCTTACGTCTTTCTCCTGGATGGTACATTCTTTACAATAATAGGCATCAGAGACTCCAGGACCTCCACATATTACGCAGCGCCCTTGGTAAGAGCCATAGTTACACTCGTCACATATTCGCACCAATGTGCAGGGCCGCACATAAGAATCACAGATAACACACTTGCCATCACCTGCAAAGAAAGAATGCAGATTTCAGCTGAGAGCAAACCTACAGAAAAATGTCATTCCCAGAGAGAAAAGATATAGTTCATTAGATTATCTAGATAATGTGTTTCACACACAATCTGCTGCCATTCATTCTAAATGCCAATATATTAGCTTGAGTTATTTGCACACCGTAGCCCTAGGCAACTGCCATGTGACTGAATTCCTCCATTAGCTACTGTACTACATTTCTGAACAATGTATAAGAACTCTGAAAAGGTATGGGCATAAATAACACAAATATGCACAAAATTCTATCTTGCCAATACAAGCTTCAACACTTTCTTGAAAGGGATATTTAATGTTAAACATTTTTATTTTGGCTTTGGAAAAAAATCTGAAAAGAACAAATTCACACACATGTGATGGAAACAGAATGTTCTGAAAGTATGAAGAAACAGTCCAACTAAGCCAAAGCCAACACTGAAAATGAGAAATACTCTCAATCATATCAATGACCCAAAGATGAAACATTTTGTACCTCATTACCAGTGCCTTGATCCATGTAATCTTTAGTCCTTTTAGAGATCTGTAGAACCTGCTCTTTACATAGTGGAGAGGCTTAAATTGCTTCTTTTGGCAATTAAATATGCTCCCTGTACATGCAAGATGTTGTCCTGGACAACAGCTACAATTCTCCTTCTCATATTTTCTACCACTTCTGCTAGATTTCTAGTTTCCAGCAGAAGAAATTACAGTTAACCCTCCACATTTGTGCAGGTTAGGGGCACAGGACAGCTGCAAAGGCTGAAAAATGCTAACATCTTTACCCCCCACCCCGCACCACCTTAACTCTTAATACTGTTGACCACGTGTGTACTGAATTGCTTCGCCTTCTCTCTCTCTCAGATCTTGGCCTGATCCAGCAGGCTTCCTCTTTATTACATTCTCATGTTCTTATTCCCTACCTTTCATTCACCAGCACCTTCTGAGCTTCAATTTTAAAAGATCAGTGGAAGATATTGACTTGACAATCATAATTAAAGAAACTATACTTACATTTTTCACACAACCGTCCAATAGCTGCAATAGATGAGAAACATAATTCACATATATATGAAAATTATGAGCATTTGAAACACTTATACACATTTCAATGATCCTTACAATCTTGCGGTACTATCATCATGTTCATTTGAGGGCAGGGGGACTGAGACAGAAAAAATACTGACTTTCAAAGGCAAAGCAGAATTAAAAGATACATGTTGAACAAAAGCTTAACTCTGATATTCCAGAAACAGGTATCAGTCAATTCTCTACACAAGAAATTAATACAATTTATTTTAAACAGCAAAAAAGAGGCAGTGCATATATTAGGTGATCCAGGGTGCATTGGCAGCTAGCCTGTATGGCACCAAACACCAATGTTTTAAGGTGTTTCTAATTTTCCACTTCATTTCAAACAATGAGACTTATTTCCACATACGTATGCTTAAAACAACAACTTTAGGAATACATTGTGAACGTTTGTAAGTCTAAATCTAAAGCAAACAATACTCTATCTTTCCCTTTGCTGCCAAATTTGAATTTACTAAGATTAGAGCTTGCCGTTTTCAAAGCAACATAAATTAAGACCTAAATACTCATTTTAGATCCAAGGAAGAGAAAGCATTAAGACAGCAACACAAAGGCAAAGCTTTTATGCTCCATGTACGTCACAGGCTGGCAATGACGCAGCGCCATCCAAGCCTACAATACAACTGCTGCAAATACAGAAGGCAGCAGGAGCCAGAAGTTACAGAGTAGAAGGTTCTTCTGGCCAGTAAGATCTTTTTCCCCCTTCAATCCTTGCTATTTCAGCAGTTAGCCAAACCATTACACAGCAGCAAATCTTATAGCCAAGAATGTTCATTCTCTATCAGTGGGAAAATAGCAATGAATCAAAAGATCATACTTTTAAACAAGGTGAAGTATGTATGCTAATTTGAGTCTGAGAAGTCTCACATATTTGTGCTCCCTGATAAGAAAAATTTATGTGACTATCTAGAATTGTCAAAGCATATGCTTATAGAGTCACTGGTTTTATGCACATCATTTTATCAGTTATGAGAAGGTACTGTGCATTTGGTTGCAAAAGACTCCCCAAAATGTTTGAGACCCCCTAGATCGTTTCCTGCAGCTTGAGGTCCAAAGATAGAACATAATTTGTATGCATAGTATCAGTTCCAATACCATAAAGCAATCTCTGAATGTTTTCATTTACTAGCTCCACAAGGGAGTAAGGCTGCTTTTGCCTTCTTTTCACATAGGGCTGATTATGAAAGTTGCAAGATTGGCTATGTTGATATTATTTGGCAGTAAGAAAAAAAGATTATATACTTCTAACATCCAATCATGCACAATATTAAGGACAATATTAAAGGAGAACTATATGCTTTATGCAACATATACTCATATATTCAGCCTTGGAGAATCCTGTTTGATCAGATCAAGATCCCATCTAGGCCAGGATCGCCTTTCCTAAACTGGCCAGCCAGATGCCTCTATTTAGTTGTTAAAAGCATGAAAGAAACAATTCTTATATAATACATATTCCCCAGGAAAGGAGAGTCATACTCTGAAAACAGAATATCAGTTTGGTGAGCATGGCTAATACGAATTGAAAGAACAGCCCTCTGTAAGTTTAAAGACTTTTGTAAAACCATCTAAGCCAGTGACCACAGTCACATCTCACAGCAGTGAATTCTACAAGTGAGTTATGCATTGCATGAAAGCACAGCGTTGTTAGTACTAGTGCCATGAGAGCAGAACTGTGAAAAAGTGTTCTGAGGCCCACTCAGTACAATGAAAATGCCTCCCAAATTAGCGTGAACTAATTTACACTTTCAAGTAAGTATTACACATTATCTTGTGAAAAATACCATTAAGTCCATGATCTAAAGTTTGCACCAGTTTGTCGGTTCTTGATTTACTGCCAATGAATTTAATCGGCTAGTTCTGATACCTGCTGCCAGTAGAGAATTTTAATCGGGTTACACCGATATTAGTCTAATTTAAACGCCATTCATTTCAGTGGGCTTACATTGGGTGCAACCCTCCACACCACGCCAATTCTAACTCTCCTCCCACCCACCGATCATCTTCAAAAGGCTTTGGCCTGCTGCTGCCTCCCATTGTCCGCCTCCTAATTCAACCCATCCAACACGTGCAGGCAAAGCATCCAGAGAGTGCGGGTGGTAAGGGGGGAAGTGCGGCCCTCACCTACTCCCGCCTGCTTGCGGCAAAAGATCAAATCCGGATGGTGCTTCGCCATCCCTCAAACGCCTTGCGCCTCGCGCCGTTCTCGTTAGTGACCTCTCACCCTTGACCTCTCTTTTTTTAATGTCCGGAGGAATGGGCGGTGCTCCACTCAAACCGATCTATCCCCACACCTTGCTGAGCTGGAAATCACGGCCCAGTGGCGCGTAAAGAAATAAAGTGTTGTTCCTTATTGCGAGAGAAGGCCTCAAAATAACTTTACAAGGCGTAGGAGGAGGAAGGGGAAATTTTTAAGCGGTTCCTATGTCCCGTCTGTCTCTTCCAGGACCCGGCAGAGCCCGCCCACCCCAGCTGTCGTCGTTGGCATCGTAGAGACTGGAGCAGCTGAAGCGGGTCGCATTAGACTTAAGAACTGGACTCGTACACTGCCGTTATATGAAGAGTCTGCTGAGGACGGAAGTGAACGTTCCCCCGAAATCGGCCATGTTAGTGTGGTTGTGAGTGGACCGTGTTATGTCCGAGAAGTGGCGGCTCTGACGCCTTAGGAGAAATCCCTTTGACCAACGCTTGAAAAAGTAACTCATTTGTATGCCCCTGTTTTCGAGGCTGCTGATCAGTGGATGTGGACAGGGAAAGGGTCCAAGGAAGTAGTTTAAGGAGACTGAATTTTTGAAAACTGAACGGTGTTTTAGCTGAGATTAATTTGCGGCTGAGAAACCGAACCAGCATCCTCCCTCCTACTTCTGAGCTGCACTGCTGAAAACCACATTGTAGAATATTAAATAATATTTAATACTTATTGACTATTTTTTAAGGCTGTAATCATGTATCCCGAGAGTAATTTTAGTTGCATTCAGTAGGACTTACGCTGCAAGTGCCATACGTTTGTTTTTGCTGCAATAGAATAACACGTTACTTCTGAGAACAAAGCTATCTTCTCTCAGTCATCAATCACCACCATCGGTATGGTAAGAACGGGTGATATTTGGGAAGGCACTGCACAAGCCTGCGTATACCTACTCAAAAGTAAGTTTCATTTAGGTAGTTCAAATACTTGTGAATAGCACTACAGCCTTCGTTATACTTCAAACGCGAATAACTATAGTTTTAAAATATCCCTTTTCTTTTTCTGCTACCTTTTTCGTGATCATGTTGCTGCTGCCCAATCATAACTAACGTAATAGCTTCCATTGTGTACGGGTGGGCTCTCACTTTTCCCTGCCGATGTAAGAAAGATGGCTTTCAATGTATACTCAAAGGTTCCTCACCCAGACAAAGAGATGGGCTATTCCAACATTTTCTGATCTCTTTAGCGCTGAAGTATTATAGAGACAAAATAACTTCCTGTTCAAAAGTCAAGGTTCCGGAAATTCTCTTCTTCCTTTCTGTCCTTAAAAAGGAGGCTTGACGGGCACTGCATAGGCCCCGCCTATCGTGCACGTCTTTAAAAGCTGTGCGTGACGCTATCGCTTGGCGACTTCATCTTTGTCAGTGAACAAAATGGCGTCGTACTGTGTCCTAGTCAGTCGGTTGCAGGTGAGCACAGCGGTTGTGCAGATGGCTGTCAAGTGGAACAGGAGCTGCGAACGGAGTGTGGCTCACCTAGCGGGCGATGGGGCTTGAGGCCTGTGTGTGCCTTCCCTTTCTTGGATCTCAGTGCTTCTATTCCCGCATGTAGGTCAATGTGTCCCTTACGCTGCTCCTCGTTGTGGCCCCGGGTAACAAGGAGCGAGTAGGAGAGCAAGCAGGGTAGGAAGCTTTGGTATGCCTCGTCTGCATGTATGCAGCAAGGTTTCGTGCTCATGTTGGGCCCGGCACGTTGCCTCACTGCCAAGGTGAGAGCAAGGTGACTGGAGGTCTGCGCTGTCGGTAGGATGTTCCCGTGAGAGAGGATGACAGGCAGTCACCGCAGACATGACTGTATTTGATTCAAGGCTGCGTTTGTATTTTTTTTTAAATTTTTTGGCGCCATGGCACTGAAGCAGTTAGGTTGCATGCACTCAGATGCTTCTGATTTCTGGCCTTTTCAGTTGCCTCTGTGTAGGTTCTAGATATTAAGTTGTACTGCTAACGGTAGGCATATGCTCCCAAAATAAAGCTTTCTATTCTAGCATTTCAGGTTTCTTTGAGGGAAGCATATAGAATGGTGATAATGCATTCTGGAAAAACTTATTCATTATTGGAATCTAAGCTGCTTCCCTTTTCTCTACTGTGTTCTGCCCTGAACTTCTCAAGGCAGAACTAGAAAAGCTTTGATGTTTTACTATTGCACACACAGTTCTGAAACCAAAAGCTGTTTCAGGATCTTCTGGTTTTTGTCACATAATGACACAATGCAGTTTGGGTTTCAGTTGTAAGCACCCTTGTAATGGAGTTCCATTTAGTTAATAGGATTTACTCCTGAATAAGCATACTTTGTTTGTGTCCCATGTATATACTAAGCACAGTCTTGGTGGAACATGGAATTTTTGTCAGGGATAGCAGCAGCAGCAACAGGTAATGGTACTAATCTCTACTTGAACATAAACTTTATCCATTACATGTAGAAAATGCTTGCCTGTGTATTATTAGTCTCTCTTACATGTGATGAAGTTGCAAGCAAAAACATGCTGTAGCTTCTCTCTTCATAGCAGAAGATAGCTCTACTGGAATGCATTAACCTTTTCCTGAGGTGATTGAATACAACTTATTACACTTGTATCCTGTCATTTCTCCAAGGAACTCAGTGTAATGGTTTATCTTTGCAATTTTCCTATGAGATAGATCAGTGTGACAGAAAATGAGTTACTGAAGGTTTTCCAGAGTCTAGCTTATATGTTCTGATGGAAGATTGCACAGTTTTGGCTTGGTTTACATGAACAACAGAAAGAGGTAGGAGTATGACTATAAAATAAAGTTCTATGCTCTTCCACATTAAGGATTTAGGGAGACATTTCCTACAAGTACGTAAGCAAGAATGACTCTGTGTGTGTGTGTGAGAGAGAGCGAGCGAGAGTGCACAAACGCGCTGTTTCATGTCTTTACCCTAAAGTTGTACGGGCTAATCTGTGACCTCTCTTTCATGTCCTGCACATGTGGGTCTGTAGTATGGAAATTAACAGAGGTACATTAGGCTGCAGGAAAGAGCTCTGATGTGCTGCAAAGTAGCAGTGTTTAGGAAAGGGCCTAACACTGAGAGTGAGGAAAAGAAAGGATTCCCCCAGTGGTACTTTAGCATTCTGACAGCTGCAGGGACTGCCTTAAATTCTAAAAGCTAATTTGGAAGGAATCATTGTTATAATATATGATGTTTGGTGTTCTGCAGCTATACTTTTGATCTGTCTGTTGTTGGATCTGTATTTCCTTGTCAAAATATGATGGTGACAGTTGACCACTTCTCTATCTATCTTCAGCAAGCCTTGAGTAAAGGTGTTCGAAGGTACCATGTCACACCTATCCAGTGCCAGCGGGCCAAAGTGGCCATGAGCCAGTTTGAGCCCAGTGAATACATAAATTATGAAAAGCTTGAAAAAAACATCAAAATTGTCCAAAAAAAGTAAGTATTGGGCTTGGAGAACCTGAAGTTACTGCACTGAAGATGTAGAATTTCAATAGCTATCAAAGCAGGATTGGTTTGGATTTATATATTAGATTTTGTTATGGTCAAGGAATACAGAGGACTACTAAGTTTTTCATGTATAATGTTTTGAATAAAAGTAATAAAAATTTTGACCTGCACATGTATTATTTTGCCATAAACCGTGGTACAGATGAGAATCTCAGAAAAGCTGTATGATCAGAGTGGTGTATACTAGAGCATATCAATTTTTCAATAGTTTTTAAAGTAAATAGTTCTTTCTATGATTCATTATTTTTATTTAAAAAGCTGGTGCTTTAACAGGGTTCTGAAAAGAGGCATAGTGTCATTAGGAAATATTTAGGAACATTAATATTAGGAAAATTAAGTCTTAATCTGTACCAAGCAAATTAGATTATATTGAAGCATTTAAAAAGTACTGTCACAATGGATAACTATTAACAGAGTATTTTAAAAGATACCAATATGAGTGTGAAAAGATTTGTATAAATTGACATCTTATTGATAGTCGTGAGGGAGAAACTATTGGCAGGTACAAAAGTAAAGTGGTTGTTCTTACCTTCAGAGCTGAAAAATAATTTTGAGGTCATTGATGTTGTAGGTGTCCTGACAACCCACAGAGTTCTTCACCTGTAAGATTCTAGAAATCCTATTAGAATTAATATTAATAATAATTAGCACTCAGTGGTGACACCTATTTGATCCAAAGGAGAAGGTGAATATTTGAGTGGAAAACTGCTTCAAAGTGTTAATGGTTATGTTGCATTTCAACAAATAACACATGAAAATTTAAGAACTAATACATACAAACTAGAGAACTAAATCTTTTAAAGAGCCAGTATAGGCATATGTTCCAGTTTAAGAAAACAGGCCTGAGCCACCGAACTGTGCCCTCACTCTCCTTCCACTTCTTGTCTGGAGCACAAATTTATTCTGTTTGTTTGACCTTTGGCTATCTCTTATGTACAGTAGTGTGAACAATAGTTACATAACCAATGTTGCCACTTAAAATGTGAAACTAGCTAGTTCTGTCTGAGACAGTACCCCAAATGCAGATAAAAGCTCAGAATTAACATTAAAGTATGTGCAGAATGGGGATTGGCTGTTTCTGTCCATTAATGCTTCTAGCATCTTGCCTCACATATTTCTATAAGAATCAGGTGGTGCAGGTGCTTGCACAGAGGCTTCAGGCAGGATCCTTATGAATCTCATTGCAACTCATGTTTGAAATATGTGACATGGTTGAAATATATGAGTGCTGATGACATGATATTCACTTTGATTTCTTTCCAACAGACTGGACCGTCCCCTCACCCTGTCAGAGAAGATTGTATATGGCCACTTAGATGATCCTGTCAAGCAGGATATTGAGAGGGGCAAGACATATTTGCGTCTGCGGCCAGACCGTGTGGCTATGCAGGATGCTACCGCCCAGATGGCCATGCTGCAGTTCATCAGCAGTGGGTTGCCCAAAGTGGCAGTGCCCTCGACCATCCACTGTGATCACCTTATTGAAGCTCAGCTAGGTGGTGAGAAAGATCTTCGAAGAGCAAAGGTCATTATTTACATTTCACTTCAATTCAAACCAGTAGAACATCTGGCTTCTTCCCCAGTACACTTTGGCTGTTATCACAATGGTGCAGAGTAGCAATGGCATTCACAAAAGGTGCAATTTCCCTTCCAGCATCTAGCTCTAGCAACTACTTCCTTTAGTTATCCTGTTTCTTGTCCAGTGTCCTGGATGCTCCTGTCTGTCCTTGATGATATACAGTCCATTTCTGTTTAGGCTCTTGGCCTAGTTCCCTGCTTCCTCTGCCTTTTACATCAATTCACCTACCCTTCTTTTCAGTTTTTCAATTTGTTCCCTATTCTACATCCTCCCTTCACTCTCCTTGTTTCCAGGCTCCCAACTCTTTCCCCTCACTATAGCCTAGCATCCTTTTTTCCAGTCCTTTTTATCTGCCAGCTCACATCAGCACCCTAAAATTGTGGTGCATAGCTTCCAGAAAGTTAAATTGCAAAAGGCTTGGGAAAGCTTTCTGCTCCTCTACAGCAGGCTCACACAACAGGTGACCCACTGAGATTAACATTGTGTGCCAGCTGTGTTAAGCATATAACAATACCCACCATGTGCTTGCTGCCCTAGATGACAGTTTATTAGATTTGTCATGCATCTGATGGGCTGTATTGACCTATGTGGGACACAATTTGGAGTATACATGTTCCAGATTCTGAGGAAGAACCATCAGGTGAGCTTAGGTGGGTATAATTCACAGGGGTGTGTGACAGCCAGATGAAGGTAAGTCACTTGGATTTTGATCTAGGAGTAAAACATTACACAAAGCTTTATCCAAAACAAAATTTCAACCAATGTGATGTGATAATACATGATGTGCTCATTAACAATGCAAGATAAACCTGTGGGCTATCAGCATATTGCATTTTCAGATTTTATTCCCAAGAGATAGTATAAGTTTGATGCTTATAACAAGTTAGATCCAAGTATTGTTTTCATATGTACTTTGGGAAACTACTGTGAATCCTATTTGTAATGTGTTCTGTCTCAAACTCTCAGGTTATGTGCACATGCAATTTTCTCAGTCCTAAAGGCTTGCAAAAGGCCATCAAAAGTAGGCAGAAAATTGATTCTACTATGTGAATTGGGCTAAAACAAGGAATTTTGGCTCAGAATCTCAGCCAGCATTGAGATAATGAGCCAAAACTTCTCCCTCCTTTTTCAACAAGGATTCCAATTCAGCTGCCTTACTCTTAACCCTGGTTCCATATCTATCCACTTTTTTTCAGATTGCTTTGAAGCCCCTAGCTGATGCAATAAGGCTTTAAAAGATTGATATATTCTGCGTAAATGGACAGCTCTTTTATCTCCCGGCACTTGTCTCTTTTTTTTTTGATGTCCTAGGTTTGATTTCATGAGAAGACAGATTGTTTGCAGTTTGCATATCTTTTGCCTTCTCCTAACTTTTCACCCCGTTACTTATCCAATGAAACAAAAGTTAATCTGGGAATGCAGTCAACAGAAGTAATAACAGTTTATTGGATAAGAACTTCGTTTTGACTTGTTCAGTATGTGTAGGTCATTACATATGTATTATATAAAAATTATATTTATAGTATAATGTACATTGTATTTATATTAGAATACAAAAAACTTGAAAATGTCTTCCTTAGGAACTCTATTTTTCATTAGATAAGGTTTACTTTAGCCACCTTTGGAATTAGTCCTATATTGTACTTAGGTATAAGCTCTGGTAAATTCATGTGGGAGTCTCTTCTACATATAAAGGACAAAACCTAATGTAATATTCAGGGGCTCCAGATTGACCATCTTTCCTTAGGATGAGACAGTTCTGAATGGAATAAATCTGCATCTTGTGATGCAGGCAGTCATCCTAAACACTGATTTTAGTAGAGTTAACCTAGTGAGTATTTAGGATTGGTACTTCAATTTCCTTGTCCACAGAGTAAAACTAGAATGTTTAGGATTAAAGGTTAAAAGTGTAAGAGTAAACGTTGTGTAAAATGTGGCAGGTAGAATGCTGCCTGAAATGGAGGAAGTCTTCTCATTGGGGCTCTCATTTCTCTGTTAAAACATTGCGGTTGATCACCTTCTGTTAAATGTTTTGCCATCACAAACAGCTATACCACATGATCTGCGAGCTGTACTTGAGTGTCCTCTGTGGCAATGCATTGTAGGAGCTGCAGATTGTAGCTTTTGGATTACATCACCTCCATGGATATTCCAAACTACTGCTTGGCTTTGCCTGTGTAGTGAAGTCAGACTTGGTTACTCAAACACTACCTGAAAAAAAGCTAATGCAACAAATGTTTACTAGTAAACATATGTGGGCTGTAGTCAACAAAAGCTTATGCCATAATAGATGTTTTAAGTCTCTAAGGAGTCACAACATTCCTTATTTTTGCTGCAACAGACTATCACTACTGCCCCTTCAGAATTTTTTTAAATGAAAATTGCATGTAAATTGGGCCTAGTACAAGAATCACTTGTATGCTGTATCTGGAGATGGAACCTACTGTTACTGTTAATTTTAAAATGTCAAAAGCTGTTCTGGGAACCTGTTGAATGATGGGATATTGCTCCATAAAATAAAACAAATCTAATTTAAAAAAAATCTATCTGCTTGGCATGTCACCCTTAAACATATACTGCAGAAGATCAAAGAATGAGATAGAGTGTTAGTGGGGTCCATAACTTGTTGCCTCTACTCTGCACAGTAGAAATCTTATCATGATTCTCAGTAGGAATGCTTTATTTTTGTGTGCGTGAACAGGACATTAACCAAGAGGTATACAACTTCTTAGCCACAGCAGGGGCCAAGTATGGAGTGGGTTTCTGGAAACCTGGATCAGGAATCATTCATCAGGTAAACTATTTCCTCTTTAAGGGCAAGGCAAGCACTCCGCTATATGTGGTTAGGAACATAGGGAGCTCAGTATTGTGTACACTGACTGGCTGCACCCCTCCAAGGTTTCAAACAGGAATTTCTTAGCCTTACCTGAAGTTTGAAACTTGAACCTTCTGCATAAAAATCATGTGTTTTACCCCTATGCTGTGGCCCATCCTCTTCTTGAGAAAGATCTCTCTGTATGCTGTGACTTCCCTTGCAGGAGTAATAGTTCCATCTTCTTAATGAGGCTAACTTGCCACTTTGCCTTTTTTGCAACATGACAGTGTATGCTGCTCTAGACAGATTCTCCAGCTGCCCATTCAAGGTTATGGAGGTCAAAATGCAATTTGATACCTAGTTATTTAGCAACTCATTGAGTGTTTATGAAGGCAGGTGAATCTCTTTAAAATCAAGTGGAGAATTTTCTCTCCAATTAAAACAAGATGTTGGCCTGTCAGAATTGTGCTGGTGCACAGGGTCACTTGCCTATATACTTGCTGAAATAAGTTGTTGAAATTAAGAGAATCAACTGAATTATTCCTTTCAACAAAGTAAGCACCAAACGTTTCTGTGCTAGAACTCATGTATTTAACTTTAGCATCAGTCTTCACATGTCTTGCTAGAAGAGGCATGGCTATCATCTTGCTTGACTTGATCCTTATGTTTATGGGTCACTTTAGAATAAATCGATCTACTTTATAATGAACCGGTCAGGTTTTTAGAGAACAGTGGATCAGACAGATTGGAAGGATATAAACACACATTATTACAAGGAATCCCTTTCATGCGGCTTACAGCTTACTTTCCTAATTAATATAGCTCTTAACTCCTTGAAGGGCCAGTCCAAGTTGATTGCCACCATCTTTTTTGTTTAACTTGCTTTAGCCCTAGAAAAGTTTAGGCCTTTTTTTTTTTTTTTTTTTTTTTTTAGTGTTTTTTTTTTTTTTTTTTTTCAAATCTTTTTTTTTTTTTTTTTTAGAGAGTCCTGTTGATTTTTATCTAAACAAATATTATTCTCTTTCTCAGATCATCCTGGAGAACTACTCATATCCTGGTGTTATGCTTATTGGTACAGATTCCCATACTCCCAATGGTGGTGGCTTGGGAGGAATATGTATTGGAGTTGGTGGAGCTGATGCAGTTGATGTCATGGCAGGAATCCCCTGGGAGCTCAAATGCCCAAAGGTGAGATAACTAGGAATCTTTGCAGAAAGCAGGATATTTAAAGGAGATTTGGTTTTATTATAGTGGGATATTTATGACAATAAAATATACTGGTGTTATATATGCCCATTGCTTCTGAATTTCCAGTATTCCACATGCTTGCAGCTTAAAAGAATAGATTAACACAGCTGATGATATTAAATCAGAGCCAACAACAGGTGGCTCCAAAATCTGTTTGCTCAAGGAATCTCTTCCTGATAAGAACACTTGCAAAGAGCACTCAGAGAAATGGAATCAACATGCTTATTTGGATGCGACTCATATCACACTTTATTTTCATTGCTGATTCTTCAGGTAATTGGTGTAAAACTAACTGGTGAACTGTCGGGCTGGAGCTCTCCTAAAGATGTGATCCTAAAAGTAGCTGGCATCCTTACTGTGAAAGGTGGCACCGGAGCCATAATAGAGTATCATGGGCCAGGTGTTGACTCAATCTCTTGCACAGGTACGGGAGCACTGCCTTATTTCCATGAATGCAAAGACTGGATTACTGACTATAGCCAGAGGGGTTCCACTGCCTGCTACTCATCTTACGAGCACAATATTTTTTGTGGGGTGGAATTAGAATACAAGAAGCAGCCCTCAGCTTAGTTGATCAACAGTATCATCACCATGATCTAGAAAATGTGTGTGTCCCAGTCCTTTGCTACAGTGGTCTACAAACCAGAGCTAACCAAGGGTGGCTCTGTGGTGCCATTGGAATAGTTTATTGAGAGAACTGAATGCATTCTATGTCTGAATGCCATGTGCTTAAACTTGAGGTCAGGACTGAGGTTCCAACAATGACCAGGAGCAGCAATGGTTCCAGTAGAGTTTGTCTTCCTGACAATTTGAGTGATTGTGTCTTAAGAGTAGTTACTTGTCACTAACACACAAGTAATGTTTGGCCACAGGCAGTGTCCTTTGAAGGTAATTAATGCACTTTAAAAAACTGTTAATTGGTTTTTTTAATAAGCAAATAATAAAAATGGCTGACTTTCTTGGTCGCGGTTGTGGTGCTACTATATGGAAAGAAGGGATTTAATAACCATTTTCTTTCAAGTATTGCACTATAAACAGTAGTTGAATCAGTTTCACAAAAAGTAAAATTTATAAGTGGATTCATGGTCCAGTAGTGTTTTCTCCTCCTTCCACAAAAAACTCAGTATTACAAATAAGATGGCACTGCAAGTTTGCTGTATAGTTACTCCCTCCTATATTAAGATAAAGTCAGCTTGGAATGAAAACCTCTGCAGTGCTTGTAATGGATTTTTGTTGTGAATGCAGGAGTGCATAGAACCTTTTCCTTTTTTTTACTACACAAAATCAAAGATCTCTAGTACTTTTGAAGTGGTACAAGTGTGCACGCACATGGAATTTATAAATGTTGATAAGTTACTCGAGTTAGAACTGAAGACATTTACTTTAGGCATTTTGTCAGTTCACTTTCCTGTTCATTTCAGTAAAGATAAATCTGCACTTTGAAAATTTAGTACAGCCTGTTCAGCCTTCTGTCCTCCTGATATTTTGGACTCCAATTTCCATTAGCCCAGTAAGCATGATCAGTGTTGATGGGAATTACAGTGCAAAACATCTGGAGAGTACTAGTTTGGGGAAGGCTGGCTTATTAACTTAAATGTACACGTTTCAAAAATTGAAAAGGTGCTGGGGTAATGACAACCAATCCAGTAAACTGTGCGGAGTACATGGGCTGTGAAGTAGTGCAGGTTTGTTAAAATAGTGTATTTCATAGAGTTCTTGGGATTCACTGCAACCTCATTGGCTTAGTTATAGGGACTGACATACCACTAACTTGCACTGAAATGCGTCCATAAACTGAGCTGTAAATGACCTTAGCACTTCAGATTCTTGTCTCACTTGCAGTGTGGATTTCTTCCAACTACAGGAATGGCAACTATCTGCAATATGGGAGCAGAAATTGGTGCCACTACTTCAGTCTTCCCTTATAACCACCGGATGAAGAAATATTTGTCCAAGACTGGACGAGCTGGTAAGATCTTTGTGCAGGGTCAGATTATTGGAAAGTACTTACTAGTCTTTGCTGTTCTGTCTTATGTGAAACAGAGGTTTAAAAATTGCATGCTTAATATACTGTGAAAGGAGAAAACCATATACTTTCACAGCAATTCTTGCTGCTGAGTGTTCTCTTCAGAAGTGCTCAGGAGAGATCCATTGGCATAGCAGATGCCTGTGTTTTGCCCTGTGTCTGCGTATTACTACTTAGTAAATCTTGCTGGATATTTGCTGCTTTGAAAGCCACTCAAAGGTTTTGGGCAAAGATACAATGAGCTGATGAAACATTTAGGTATTTTTATATGAACAGATACTGAGTACATGAAACATGTTTGAAGAGAGATTGGGAAATGCTATGTGTCACTTGATTTTTAAAATCTGCTTGTATTTATCATAATTAAAATGATTTGACTTTGTCTTACTGCAAAAGCAAAGTGATTCTTATAAAACCTGAAAGAAACATTCAGGTCTAGAAGCCATTCATAGATTGAAACTAAGTGTAAACTCTAAAGCATACTCCCTTAAATCACCACCAAAGTCTGATGATAGATGGACTAACTTGGCCTGACACAGAGTGCAGCTTTGTATCTTAGTCTGGGCTCAAACTTGGCATGGACAACCATTAATTTTTAGGGCTTTTGTATAATTTAATTACAAGAAATTTGTTGCTAGGATAATTACCTTCACTGTTGACTGAAAAATTCAGATGGTAAATTCCCAGTTCAGATGGTACCTAAAATAATAGCCCAGTTCAAATGTGGCTTAGATAGCTGATGGTGTGCATCTGGATTAGCATCTTCTCCTCCCCATAGGAAGTGGAGAGTGCAAGCTTCTGCTGCCAATTCAGATTAAATCGCAGTTCTGGAAACTACATTTTTTTCCAATATAAATTAAACCATGATACCATATTTTAATTAGAACAGAATTCCTAAGCATGTCTGTAATGCAGAATTCTATTCATTCCGGAGAGAAAGTGGAAGCTTTCATGCTTTTCCACATGCACAAAGAGGCGAGAAGGGTACACATGAGCCTGAAGATCTTCATAGCTCTATCCTGATCATTTAAAGTGGGCCAAAGTCTTAGATTTTTGGTTTAGGATGCTATTTACCCAAAACAGTGAAATTTGTGGGGTTGATCTCATAAGGCCTAGCAAACTGTTTTGTTCAAACTCTGGCTGATGAGATGCTTATGAGAATCTTACAAGCAAGGTGTGAGCACAACAGCACCCTTCTTCTTGTGTTTCCAAGAATCTGAGCCATATTGCCTCTGATGCTGGACATAAAGTATGACTAGTAGCTACTGATAGCCTTAGTCCCCTTTGATATGTCTAATCCTCTTTTAAAGCCATCCCAGTTGGTGGCTATCAATTTATCCTGTGATGCCAGATTCACTAGCTTAATTATATACTGTGTGAAATACTTCCTTCTGCCCATCCTGATTCAGTTTCCATCACTCAGCTTGATGGGATGAGCCTGGTTTTAGTACTAGAGAAGGAGAAATCCACTGTCCCTATCCACTTTCTCCATGCTATGCACATTTTTATTCACTTCTATCATACTTCCTGCCCTCCCATATTCACTGCTGTTCTTTTTTTTATACTAAATGGCTCCAAACATGGGAAAATTTCCTCATAGGGGAGTTGTTCCAGCCCCTCCATCATTTAAGGGGTATCCTCTTTCTTTGCTTCAATAATACCTTTTTTGAGAGGTAGTGACTAGAGCTGTACGCAGTTCTGTCAAAGGTTAAGGTTATTTCCATCAATATGTTTTTCAGAATGACTTGGATTGATTTGTCCAAAATATGCCTAGGGTATGGGACAGTCTTGCAGTTACTTGCTCCTTACATATGACCATCACTAGTTTATTTCCTTTGGCAAATATGTTCTCATTCTCTCCTCTCTGATTTCAGAGATTGCTAGTTTGGCAGATGAATTCCAAGAGCTCTTGAAGCCTGATCCTGACTGTGCCTATGATCAGCTAATTGAAATCAATCTCAGTGAGGTAAAGCACACTGCTGTTTCTCAAACATTGGAGAAAGCTCAGATCCAACAAGGGCATTTAAGGGCTACAATCAAATTGTTCATGTACATTAAGAGAGCTCTTACATCATACCTTTCAAAAGCTTAGCCTATGTTTTAGCAGGCAAGATGGATTGGGAAAAGTTGGCCCTTGTGTGGTTCCATATACTAAAGAAAATTTTGAGTGTTGATATTTTGCAGAAAAATCATTATCTTATAATTTATCATTGAAAACATTCCAGAGGTAATCAACTTCTTGCATTTCTTTCTGTTTCCTAAAGCTGAAACCTCTTATCAATGGGCCTTTCACTCCAGATCTGGCGCACACTGTGGAAGAAATAGGTTCTGTGGCAGAAAAGAAGGGTTGGCCAGTAGAGATCAAAGTTGGTGAGTAGCAATTTGCCTTTGCTGATTGTCCAGCAGCTTCAAATAACTGGTGACTTTCCCTCTAGTCTGAAACTGAGGTAACACTACTTCAGTTGCTTGTAAGCTTTCACTTCATAAAGTGTCATTCTGTTCGTGCTAGTTCTGAGGAAGCATATGTAAGGTATATAGGAAGAGAGAAAACTAAATGAGACTTCTTCTCTGCTGTATTGCTTTGTTATAATGGAATTAGAAAGGGATGTGGCTGTGATCATATGTTTGCCTAGAATATTCTGAGCTCTGTTATAAACCATGTCAAACTTGTTCTAAAAACAAGAGCATGTACCATCTTTCCACAACTCTGTGTTCCCTCTTTCTCGAACTCTAATTCTAAGCTGGTACAGTGGGATTTTTTCTTTTATTGAGCATTGCTCTAAGATGTTAGAGATTAAGCAGAGGTTATGTGCTCAGTTAGCACTTCAGGCTGGTAAAATAAGTACTGACAAATTACACTTTGGCCGGGGGTGGGGATGAACTTGAGAAGAATCTGGTGACTTCTTTCCTGTATTGCATGTGCACAGGTCTGATTGGCAGCTGCACCAATTCAAGCTATGAGGATATGGGGCGCTCTGCTGCAGTGGCGAAACAGGCGCTCGCACATGGGGTTGTGTGCAAGTCTAACTTCACCATCACACCTGGCTCAGAACAAATTCGGGCAACCATTGAAAGGGATGGTTATGTAAGTACTCTCACAGTTATGCAGCTTCATGGTCAGTATATGTCTGCTGAAAAGTTGTGGTGAAAGCTGTAGCCTAGCCTTTTGTTAGCTAATTCTGTTCTTTGCCTTCTTCAGTCAAAACTTCTGCGTGATGTTGGCGGAGTGGTTCTTGCCAACGCTTGTGGGCCGTGCATAGGCCAGTGGGACAGGTAAGATGGAACATCTGTGGGACAAACTTTTGTGCTTCACAGGGCTTTTACGGTTTCCCATTAGAAACCAATTCCTTAAAATGGGAAATGGTATATATGTAATGTAGATCTTTAAGTGTTTATAGGCAAAAACCATTCTCAGAATATCAGATAAGCTGGCCTGTACACATGCCTTCTTCCTCTATATTCACCTTCTTATAAGGCAGTTTGTCTCTAACTGAACATGTTGTTCTTTGCTTTTTCATTGCACTTGTTGCTATTGTCATTGTCTTGAAGGTTCTGCAAGCAACTTTCATAGATACAACCCATGCATACAGACTCTTTAGTTTGCCATACTAACAGTGGCCCTTTCACAGATAGCAGAATCATAATTATGATGAGCCTTTCAGGAGAGTTTGCTTTGGGGAAAAAGTGTAATCACTTAAGCCAGACAAGGTAGAATTGATATTATGTGAGTCAGTGGATTAACTGTAAAGGGTTAGGGTTTTGGACTGGGTCCAGCTCTGTTCCAAGATTGTCAGGTAGCAGCTGCAACCTGCAGCACCTATTAGCAGTTTTGGCCAGTACCTCCATTTGGAAGATGGACACCTGGCCTTTGTCATCCATGCCCTGGAGACTTCCAGATTATGTAATATACTCTATGCGGAGCTGTCAGTAAATAAGGTATGGAAATTTAGCTGTTACAAAATAGCATTTCCCATGTCTTATGGGTTTAAGTTGCCATTGTGCCTTTGCACCAGTTTAGAATCAGCTACACTAGCTAGTGAACTGTCTTTGAGCCCAATGTAAAGTGCTCTTTTTAACCTTTAAAGCCCTAGCCAATCATAATAATGGGCCAGGGTGGAATTGGGAAGTCTTTCATAAATTTGAGATGCTCAGATAAGGCTCTGCTTCAGTTACTGTTGAATGTGCTTGCTGGACTGGTTCTAGATCTTGAGTTCCACAGTGCTCTTCTGCAGGGTTCATTGGTTTCCTCACTGATGCTGTTCGCTAAACAGTGAAAGTGCTTTTCTTTGTCCTGCTTTGAGGAGTTGGGTTTTACTGGTCCTACTTGTGTGTTTTTTGTGATGACCTGATCCTTTTATTTTCTGCACAGCTTTGTGAGCATCACTTGACAAGAAGTATAAACACTGTCCTAGTTTACGAAGTTATCAGCAAACTGCTCATAGCTTAAGGCAGTTGATCTTTCATTGCTCTTGATGAGGCTTGTTCTCTTACTCTGCCTGTCTTTGCAGGAAAGATACTAAAAAGGGAGAAAAAAATACAATTGTTACATCCTATAACAGAAATTTCACCGGCCGCAATGATGCCAACCCAGAGACACATGCCTTTGTGACATCTCCAGAGGTATAGTATGTGTCAGGCTTAAGCTACAAGGAGAAAGAGGTTTGGGAAGAGAAAAGACTTTGCTGCAATTCTTGTGGGATTCAAGGTGCCTGGGTTTTACAGTATTACAGGGAAACTCTTTTTGCTTGTGCCACCATCAGAAGCACATCTGGTGGCAACATGAGAGAAGGTCTTCTTGGTGCCCACTCACAGACTGTGGAGCTCCCTGTCAAGGGAGGCTAGGTTGGCTCCCTTTCAGTTGTCCTTCAACCTTCTACCATAAACTCTTTATTCAGGAAGGCCTTTTGTTATGTAAGTTTCTCTGCTGTTGAAACTCTGTATTTTATGGTAAAAGCAGACATTCCCCAACAGGCATGTCCTTTTCAAACTTGTGTCAAGTCTTTAGTCAGATTTTTGTATTATAATGGGTGTTTTTCGTAAGGTTGAAGAGTTATGGGAGGTGAAATGAAACAAAGGGGGAGGGGGGAAATCTTATAATATGGACACCTTTTTTTCCAGATAGTAACAGCCTTGGCTCTTGCTGGTACCCTGAAATTTAATCCAGAAGTAGACTTCCTGACAGGAACTGATGGGAAGAAGTTCAAACTTGAACCTCCAGATGCTGATGAGTTACCTAAACTGGTAATTAATCTACTCTCAAATATATTTCCTATCCTTCATTCAAGGGTAGTAGGAACATCATTAAAAAGTGATCTGTTGGAAATAATTTAGTGTTCATTGGAATACAGCTATATAGAAAGGATCTAAGCTCCCTTACAAACACAGGTTAGCATTATGTTAAACAAAGGTTAGTGTGTGTGTTTATTTTATTGTATTTGTATGCCACCACATAGCCAAAGGCTCTCTGGGTGGCTCAGAGTGCAGTATAAATATATTTAAAATACAGCTAAAAATAAATGACAATAACACACCATAAAACTTAGTAAAATTAAAATACAATATAAATACAACCATATAAATAGGAAACAGGAGGAAAATAAACACAGTATAACTGATAAAAATAAGCAATAAAACAGCAGCACACCAATAGTTCATTCTAAAAACAGATACTAAATAAGAAAGTCTTGACTTGGTGCTGAAAGCAAGATAAAGTGGGTGCCAGTCGCACCTCTCGGAAGAGAATTCCAAAGGTGAGGAGAGTGCTGCATCTGAGTTAAGGGTAGAGGAGTGGTGGGGCTAGAAGCTAAGGAAGTGGCACAGATGAAGTGGGAGTGATCATATGTTCCACAGAAGAGCTGAAGATGGCAGAATGGACAGATGACTGATTGGGAAGGCTTTAGATGGCCTTTTCTTGTGCCAGCGGAATGCACAAGGTGTATGGTCTTGTAGAAATACTTTGAATTTGACTTTTCCCTTCTGTATATTTTCGCTTTCCTCTCTGCAATAATTTCCTCTTGCTTATATCCTGTAGGAATTTGATCCGGGACAGGACACCTATCAGTATCCCCCCAAGGATGGCAGTAACCAGCATGTGGATGTGAGCCCCACCAGCCAGCGCTTGCAGCTCCTTGAGCCCTTTGATAAATGGGATGGCAAGGACCTGGAAGATTTGCTGATCCTTATAAAGGTAAGGGTTGCAGCTAGGAAGGTTTGAAAACTTCTGTCAGAGTTGAAACTGGGTAATTCTCACAGTCTTGTTCCACTAATATATGAACAGAGTTCCCCAGCCCATGTGCCTAAATCATCCCAGATTTCCAAATCTGGTCTGTAGAATTAAGCATCTCCTGTGGGCCTCTCTGCCTCCCCTCCTCAGGTCCTACCCCCTGACTGGAGGCTCCCAGGGGCTTAGGAAGAAGGCAGGATGGAAAATTTCCTTGTTGTATATGTGATTAAAAAATAAGCCTTTCCCTCTCCCAGTAGATGAATTCATCAGTCTGCAATGGTTGGAAACAATTTAATCTTTAGTAGCAATCCCTAGTATCAAAGATGGCTTCTTGCGCTTTATTTCTTAAGCAGTACAAACCTAAGCACGGTATATAGAGCTAGGTTGCTTTGAACAGTTTCACCTACTTAGTAAGGATGGTGATGCTTATTAAAGCTTGAACTTCATGGAAAATCTAGGTACTTGTAGCCAGGGGCTGCTGACAGAACAGCTCTGGAAATGGATCCACGGGGTTTCAGGGGGCAGGGAAGAAGGCTCAAGAGGTGGGATTGACAAAAATATTTTAAATTACTTCTAACCTTCACCTGGGAATGATAATCAAAGGTTGCTATAAGATGCTGTGCTGCCAGTACAAGCATTCAGCAATGGTACTATATACAACATATACAAAATTGAATCAAAACACACTTTCTGGTTATACAGTTCATATTTTTTGAAGCAATCTGGTTCTCTTGTTAGAACTGGATTGCCCAATGAGGGGAAGGATGATGTCATGCTGGGGCTTGAGGGATTCTGAAGCAGGCTGAAGGCATAATTGCTACAAGACAAAATTCTACCTACCTGTGCACACAATCCTATGCCCTCCTGACCTTTTCTGGGTGGTGGCCATAGGATTTTTTGGAATTCCAGCCTGAGGTCCTGAGACTTCAAAGGCTGAGCTCATACCCTAACCCTTACAGCTAGTATGGAAAGAATTAAAATGTGCCTCTGAAGTGGGAAAGGGGATGTGCTGGCAGGGAGGAGAGAAGACGGGGGCTATCTTCCTACAGATTACTGTCGGCACCCAGCCTCCTTTCTCCCTCCCTGGCACTATATTTAGTCAGCCAAAAAACAGCCATACGGATAAAATACACAGGGTCAGGTGTGGTGCTGGACTGTGTGGTTTAGGATGCACATAAACCTCCAAGCATGGAGGCTTGCATGCATTGAGCATGAGGGTGATAAGATTGTGTCCTTACAGTTTCTCTGAAAAAGGCTGAAACACTGTCTTTAAGATAGTTTACTTCTAACTCCATAGACTAGAAATACACTGCTCCTTGATTCTAAATGTACACACTCAGGAATCAAAAGCCCACCATCACCACCTAAACTGGCTGTATAATTTCAGCTGTTTATATCAGCCTCCAGATGTGTTTGATTACAGTACCTATCTATCATCTTCACACTGGAAAGAAATGAGAACCTTTGAGAATGGACTTTGGTGCTGTCAATGTACTCATGTTGAGCATCTCTTATCTTGCATCCCAGGTGAAAGGGAAATGTACCACTGACCACATTTCAGCTGCTGGTCCCTGGCTCAAATTCCGTGGCCATCTGGACAATATTTCAAACAACCTGTTGATTGGAGCCATAAACATTGAGAACGACAAGGCCAATTCAGTGAGGAATGCATTAACCCAGGAGTTTGGACCTGTTCCTGACACTGCCCGTTACTACAAGGTGAGACATTGGTAAGCAGCATGGATACCTAGCTGCATAGGTCCTGTCCACATGATCACCGATCATATTCCTTCCTTCAAAATTTATCTCTAAAAGTGTGACAACAATGAAGCAGCGAGAGAATCTATCCTGCTCCACTTGTACAAAGGCTGTCAAATACATACTGTTTCAGACATGACCTGCATGAGCAGCCAGAAGAAGCTGCTATTCCAGCCACTAGGTGTTACTGTGGAGCCAAGGACTTTTTAAGGCAGTGTTTTCAAAATTTTGATCCATAGTGCAATTGAGCACTTGAGACTGGGAAAGCTGAGGGGAGACCCAAAATCTGCCAGCCACTAAAAATTCTTTATTTCTTACATTTCAACCCTACCATCTTACTCTTGAACCTGGTTTCTTCCCATATACACTCAGCTATGCATTTGTTAACTCTTAATGTCCTTCAAGCTCCGTTGAAATGGACAGATCCTATACCTTGGCAACTACATCGGGGAAGAACTGTAACTTAGTGGAAGAGCATGTGCTATGCAGACTGAAAGTCCCAGGCTTAATTTCTGATTTTGTTGTTGTTGTTAGTCGCGAAGTCGTGTCCGACCCATCGTGACCCCATGGACAACATTCCTCCAGGCCTTCCTGTCCTCCACCATTCCCCGGAGTCCACCCAAGCTCACACCAACAGCTTCAGTGACTCCATCTAGCCACCTCATTCTCTGCTGTCCCCTTCTTGTTTTGCCATCTATAGATTAACCCCTGCTTAAAAACCTGAAGAGTGAGTGACTGCCATAACAGACAATTCTGACCTAGATCACTGGTCTTACTCTGTATAAATGAACAAAATCACTTTTCCAGCAACTATAAATTTTCATACTGGGCAAAGACTTTCTTGTCTTCCTCCCTCTCTTCCCTCCATCTTAGAGCTCCTTCAATTCCATGGCCATACAATCTGTTAGCACAACTAGTTTATATACCTGTGCTACAGTGCTTGCCTTTTCTTTGAGAACATGTCTTTGGGTGAATACTGTTTCCGTCCTGTTGAACAGAGCACAATATGTATAAGTTGCAAAGGCTGACCTAAACTATTTTGGTTCCTGAATTAGAAAATGTGAAGGCCTTGATTTAAAAACAAATACTAACGTTCTGGTCTTCTGGCTTCTAAAATCTACCCCCTGAGAAGCACCTTCCTAACTCAGGCTTAGTATCGGGAGGTACCACAGAGAGAACAGAGCAACTATAATATAAATTCTAACATCTAGGCAGCACTTGAATGTTCTGAGCCTTTTGCACACACTGGCCTGGCTTGCACAATCACTGCAGCTCACTTAAGTCATATTTAAGCCACAGTGGCTTGTGGCACCACATTTTCTATTCAGACTGCATTGCTGCAGCTTTTTGTGTTGTACAAACCCAATGAAAGTGGCTTGTTGGGGTGGATAACAAACTGCACAGAACTCAGGATGTATTCTGGGGTGGTTTTTAACTGCCTCAACAGGTCGTGGGTTCTGGGTGATTGGTTAGCCATTGCTAAAAAGCCACCTTGGATAATATAAGAAGCTACACCCAGCAAAGGTGATAATGTAAATCAGGTTGACACACAAGTGACGCACACACACGGTTAGTTTACAAGCCACTGTGGCTTCTTAACTAGGCTAGTGTCATGTGAACCATCCCACTGTGCTAGTGCCATCTGTGTAAGAGCAAGAATGTAAACTGTGGATAATATTTTTTTTTATGTGAGGGTAACCAAGGTCTTTTGCCACTAGAATTCAAAGGACCCATGTTCAACTCCTCTAACTTCCTGTCTCAAACTTAATTCTACCTCTAGTAGTTTTTCATTCTATTTACCTTCAAGTGGTTTCTCAGCCACTCTTGTACATAGCAAACAAACATCGTTTCCTTAAAAGCAAAGGAAATCCTGTGGCTGAAGAATGTTTTTGTTTGTTTTGTTTGCAGAAACATGGTGTTAAATGGGTGGTAGTTGGGGATGAAAACTATGGGGAAGGCTCAAGTCGGGAGCATGCAGCTTTGGAACCACGGCATCTAGGAGGAAGAGCCATCATAGTCAAGAGCTTTGCCAGAATTCATGGTGAGAAGCTCCCTTTCTTAGGGGCAACTGCAGTAGAAGTGTTAAGCTGAATGTTATGTTGGGCAGTTTTGCCTAGATCCAAAATTTGCAAGTGTGCACATGCATAGATTGACTGGTCCATCTGTAGTTGGTAGCAGTACAAAGAGTGTCAGACTTGCCTTGGATAAGGTTGTATTTTGCTGACCAGAATTATAGATCCCAGTGCATTAGTTATTTTTAAATACATGTCTCCATACACCTGATGGTACATATTATGAATTTTGACCTCTTGTGCAGAATCTTAACAGTATAGTAGGTAGAATGTTACTTGCTCACTAGTTTGCCAATTTGCAGATAGTTTTGTACATACTGTGACACATTTTAACTTAATGGGATTCATCAAGGGCCCTCTCTAAAGAGTGCTGGGCAACATGACCTGTGAGCTATGTATGGCCTCCTGCTACCAAAAGCCATGGTGCTGGGGAAAAAAATCTGATTTGATACTGAAAATTTATGGTAAATTACTATGGAATGCTACACTAAGTAATTGTAGCTTGTCTGTAAGTTAAATCTGGCCATTGTTGTATTCTGTAATGATCTGC